AGTTACAGCGCATGCATGCAAATGCAATATCAATTATGCATTGGCTTCGTCATCAATAAATTAAATCAAGAATCTTATTTATAAGAATTGTAATTTATGTTCAATTATATATTTATCACGTTCTCTTAACGTACTTTTATATACCATAAAATAATCTAAGGAAATCCTAAAACGACAACCGAAATGGAAGAAAAACGAAAAGAACCTGATTCTTTTTAACAGCGCTGTTTTCATTTATTTGCAAAAACTGAAATAAATCCAAGTAAATAATAACTTCGACAAAAAAAATATATTAACAACCAAGGAAAACTCACATATTGTTTCAGTATTACATGCAACAACGGTAGTAATTTTAATTTATTAATACATTTTATAAGTAAAATTTATTTTTTCAGGATAAAGAAAGACTCGAACGATCAATGACTAAGATATTATTAATTAATGTATTACTGACTCGTCGGCATAGCGGTTAACTAAAGCGAGCGCATTACTAGTGAGCTTCTTGACGACATCGACTCGAGAGCAGACGTCATCTTTGATGGAGCCGTCTTCGTGGACGTCTTTGAACCCGTCCGTACAAGTATACTCGTTAGTGAGGGCTGCGCTAAGCCAAGTCTTGACATTGCTCATCTGGAACCTAAAAGACTCGACCGAGCCAGACGCGGAGACAAGCTCCTTCATCTGTTTCATCGAGCCTCTCATATCGTCGACAGCATCTTTAAGATTCTCGAAGCAGTCTCTAAGGACGGGGGTTGGGTGGTCGCGGTTATAAGCGTTTTGGAGGTAAGAGATAAGGTGGAGAGTGTTGTGGAGAGTGAGGGAGATTGCTACGCGTGCGAGGCGGTTCGAGTCATTTTGGATGGAGTTGGCAAAAGAGGAGAGAGTTGAGAAGCAAAGGTCCGGGTAGAGTGTGGTTTTGCAGGCTGTACGGATGAAATCGGAGCCGTTTGATGATGGGAGTGGGGGATCAACGGTGAGGATTGGTGGAAGAAGGGAGGATAAAAGAAGTATAAGGAGAATAGATCTCATCATTGTTATGTGATGTGTTTGTGTGATGTGTTTGGCTCTTTTGGATTCATGAGCCTTCCTTTTGGAGTTATTTATAGTGTCGTTTAAAAATATCAGATTTTATAGAAAAAAATTAGAGGTTGAGTTTGGAGGTGAACAAAAATATCTGCCAACAATTATCTGCAAGCATGTTTAATGGGCCGGGCCGGGCCGGGCCGAACTCAAATCTAAAAACTTATCATATGAAAAGAAGTTAGTTTCTTTGATTTGAATTGTATCCGAACACAACGCACAGGCTAAATAGCTTTGTTAAGCCAATAAGCCCATATATATTTGAACAGAGATGTAACTCTTAGATCAACCAGATAAGCTTTTGAACTTCGTATAATTTAAATATTAATATTTTAATATAAAAATAAATAGACCACTAAAAAACAGACATGCAAGAAAAATCTCTAAAATGATTAGAAACGTACCTTATATAAGAGCATTTCCATCAGTGAATATCTAAAAAAAATATTATTATTGCTATGATTTTACTTTTTGATTAAATTTGAAATAATTAATTAAATTACACCAATCAAATTAAAACACTTGGTAAAATGGTTTTTCAAGAGTGTATTAGGATTTTTCGCCCTAGACATTTTTCTCATTCTTTCTCCTTCTTTTTCTATTTTTTCATTATTTTAATTGCAAAAAACTGGATCTCCAATCCTTATTGGAAATGGTCTAAAAGGTACATCTCTTGTTCTTTCTTCTTTTTAATATTTTAAATTTTAGGTACCTTGTAAGAAACATACGTTGAGGTTGCTCTCAAGATCCTAATGATACACCACAACAAGCAGTCCTAATTCCTAAACAAGTTTCGTTTTTATGGTTACTTTGTATGGTTAATATTCAAACTAACAACATTTATTCTCAATGATGAGTATGTTGAGACGTATCATAAGTTTCTCTCAAGATAAGGAATTAATGTCTGGACCTATCATGTTATAGGAACGCTAGTGACAACGAACATATGATGGTTCATGCATATCACCGATAAATTAACAAATTTTCCATTCTATGATATAGTATCTCGGTATCCGATTGTGGTTGGTCTAAAAAATACATGGATTTTTATTTCGATTACGAAACTACCTTTACCATCTTGGTTCTTCCATTCATTAATTAGCATCATTTTTTATTTTATTTTTGCGATTAGATATATTTCTCAAAAAACATGTATAGTAGATATATATGAGTGAAAGTAATTTGAACAGCTAATTAGAATCGTCAATATTTAGTTTTACTTGTATATCCATCGCTTTAATCACTTTCTATCTTGATATTGTTTGATCCAAACCACCAGTATATAGATCTTTAACCTATTGTACAAAAGTTTAGATTCGTTTTGATCTCTTAGGTTTCTTTTTAGCTATATAGAAACAAATTCATAGAGACTATATCTACATTTTTGGATGTAACAACAATGTTCCTCATATATCCCATAAAACTTATTGAATCAACTGGTCCAAACAAATACAACGCTAATATGACCCAAAGACACTAATCACTCGGCCTAAACTTGAGGCGGATTTAAAGACATCACGGTATCATAACATGATAACATCCTTCTTACTTTTTCTGTTCTCTTTTTTTCTTGGCCGTCCATTTCTTTTTTTTGGCAAAATAATTTTGCTTGAGGAAAAAACAAAAATAATTTTGGTGAGAATAAAAACAAAAAAAGGTTTTCAAAAGATACGTGGCTAATACAGCGAAGAGGATCGATCACATGCACCAACACTATTTACAACAATCCTTTTAGGCTATACTATTATTTGTTAGTCAACCCCGTAACACCATTTGTACCCATTAATCATGACCATTTTGCATAGATTTTCCACCAAAAACGGCGTCGGATAAGGTTTTTGGCCTTTTGTGTTTCTTTTTATTTGTGTGCAAACTGCAAAGCTTAATTTCATTTTAACCGTACTATGCGGAGATTTAAAATTGGATAAAGATGATTCATTCATTACGCGGACATAGTAAATTAGTAATGTATGTCGCTTTGTCGTTAATACTCATAAATTCATGTTAATGATTCTATGATTTCCAGCTATCTCATTAATTATTAAGACGTTTAATTGGAGTTATTAGCAATTGTGTATGATAATATGATTAGCATTTTCATGTGCCATGCCCATGCATGAGGCTATTTTTTGTTTAAAATTTATATATTCTATCAGAATTTTTATATATACTAAATGCTAATTTGTCTATGCTTTTGTCTACTAATTAATTAACCTTTACCTTCACTGTTGGTTTAAGCTTGAAAGAGGCTTAAACCGGAGGTTACTTAAACCGCAAGATGTCGGTTTATTGAAGAGATAAAGACTAATTCTTTAGGAGTTATCTAGAGAATATTATGTAATCCTAATTGAGTTATGATTAGGTTTAGAGGTTGTGGCTATATAAGCATATATCGAGTTGTGATATAGCTTATGAGATTGAGATAGAGAGTTTTATGTGTTTAAGGTTTTTGAGAAAGAGAGTTTGAGAGTTTGAGTTCTTGAGATTAATAAAGAGAGTTATTCTTTAAAGAGTTGTTCTTATATTGTGTTTGATTCAATAATTGGTATCAGAGCGTTGCGATCTTCTTGGGAGCAATGGCGGAAGATGCACTGGTTCTCGTAGATCCAAAGAAAGGAGGAGGGTCTACATCTATTCTTTGTCCGATGCTGAACACCACCAACTACACCGTATGGGCGCTGAGGATGAAAGCTGCACTAAGATGTCATGAGGTATGGGAAGCTATTGAACCTGAAACAGAGGCAGAAGTAGTAGACAAAAAGAAGAACAACACGGCTATCGCGCTGTTGTTTCAGTCAATACCAGAGGCACTTGTTCTGCAGATAGGAGATTTGGATTCTGCAAAGAAAGTTTGGGATGCTATAAAGTCGAGACATGTGGGAGCTGAACGAGTCAAAGAAGCACGTCTACAAACACTTATGGCTAACTTTGAGAAACTCAAGATGACTGATACAAAGAAAATAGATGAGTTCGCAGGAAAGATGGCAGAGATATCTTCAAAATCTGCTTCTCTTGGAGTAGAGATTGAGGAATCTAAGATGGTTAAGAAGTTTCTTAACAGTCTGCCTACTAAGTTTATTCATATAGTGGCTTCATTAGAACAGGTATTAAACCTTAATACCACCACTTTTGAAGACATTATAGGAAGACTTAAAACGTACGAAGAAAGGATTGTTGTTGCAGAGAATGCACCAGAAGATCAATCAAAACTCATGTATGCTAATTCAGAAACACAAACGTTTCAAAACAATTGGTATGCAAATAGAGGTAGAGGTGGCCGAAGAGGAAGAGGTAGAGGTCGCTTTGGTTACTCGCAAGGTAATGGTTACCAACAGAACAATGAAGGATACAGAGACGCGAGCAAGATAACTTGCTATAGGTGTGACAAATTGGGATATTACGCATCGGACTGCCCTGACAGGTTGCTTAAACTCCAAGAAACGCAAGAAACCAAGAATGATGACACACAAGAGGCCGATGCACTAATGGTACATGAAGTTGTATACTTGAATGAAAGGAATGTAGTTCCAAATAAATTTGAAACAAGTTCAGGTGTTGAGAATGTGTGGTATTTGGATAATGGAGCTAGCAACCATATGACGGGAACCTTAGCTTATTTCTCTAAGCTTGATGAATCATTCACAGGAAAGGTGAGATTTGGTGATGATTCTCAAATTGACATCAAAGGAAAAGGCTCAATTGTGCTTGTAACAAAAAATGGAGAGAGGAGAGCTTTACACGATGTATATTATATCCCGGACTTGAGAAGCAATATTGTGAGTCTCGGCCAAGCTACGGAGTCGGGCTGCGATGTGAGGATGCGAGAAGATTACTTGACTATGTATGACCGAGACGGAAAGCTATTGATTAAAGCAAAAAGGTCCAAAAATAGGCTATACAAGGTTATCATGAGAATTCTGATGGATAGAAAATTCCAAGAGCTTCCCATCTCCGGCGAACCTTTAGTCGTTGAGAGTCCGATGACCAACAAGAAGACGAATAAAAGTAAGAGAGAGGAGAAACTGAGTGAGAAGAATAAGAAGAAGGATGTCCCGGAGAAGAAGCTAGAAGCTGAGGAGTTAAGTGTTACCAATGGAGGAGAAAGTGAGCAACCGAAGGTTGTTATGACTGGGAAAGATGTGGAAGAAGCAAAGTACGCAACTTTGAAGACTTTTGCTGAATCGAATTTGACGGAGAATGTTTTAGAAAAGCCATCTCCGATTCAGTCACATAAGTGGCCAGTTTTGTTAGATGGTCGTGATCTTATCGGGATTGCAAAAACTGGGTCAGGTAAGACATTGGCTTCTGGGATTCTTGCGATTATGCATGTGTTAAAGAAGAATAAGAAGATTGGTGGAGGATCAAAGAATGTCAATCCTACTTGTTTGGTTCTTTCTCCTACACGAGAATTGGATGTTCAGATTTCTGATGTTTTGAGTGAAGCTGGAGAACCTTGTGGTGTGAAATCAATATGTGTATATGGTGGAAGCTCTAAAAGGCGTCAAATAAATGCTATTCGATTTGGAGTTGATATTGTCATTGGTATGCATGGTCGTTTGAGAGACTTGATTGAGTCTAATGAGCTTCGTCCCTCGAAAGTTTCCTTTGTGGTATTGGATGAAGCAGATCAAATGCTTGATATGAGTTTCGAAGAACCTGTTCGGTTTACATTGAGCAAGACAAATAAAGTTCGTGAGATGGTTATGTTCAGTGCAACTTGGCCTTTGGATGTTCACAAATTGGCGCAGGAATTCATGGATCCAAACCCAATCAAGGTAGTCATAGGCTCCGTAGACTTAGCCGCCAACCACGACGTTACGCAAATCATTGAGGTCTTGGATGAACGTGCGCGGAAGCAGCGACTTGTTGCCTTACTAGAAAAATACCATAAATCTCAAAAGAACAGGTTTTTGGTACTTGCTTTACAACAAGGTGAAGCCAAAGGGGAGCATTATGCAGATAAGAGTACATTCCATGGCAAAGAGGAGAAAGATTATCAAGGAAGGTCTTGGATTAAGGCTATGAGGAAGGAGATTTTGGAGTTAGGATATCTTGATGACGGTTATAATTACTTGGAGCATTTGAGAGAGATTAAGAATCCTGGTGGTGGTTCTACTTTCTATGCGGATTCTAAGTTTGAAGTTGATCACGTTGAGTCTTCTCAAGAGAAAGGTAAAGACAAAGCAGAGCCCACCAGAGAAGTGATGGTTGACAAAGAGAAAAAAGCCAAGGCTGGAAGTGACAAAGAGAAGGAAGGAGAAGAAGAAAAAGAAGGACTGAAACTTGAAGATGAGACCGAAGAAGAGAAAAAAAAGAGGGAAGAGAAGGAAGAATCTTTCGAGAATCTCTGCAAGACGATTAAGGAAATTCTTGGAGACAAAGTTGAGAAGGTTGTGGTCTCAGACAGGATTGTGGACTCTCCTTGCTGTCTAGTAACTGGTGAATACAGATGGACTGCGAACATGGAGAGGATTATGAAGACAGAGGCGTTGAGAGATAGCAGCATGAGTGGTTACATGTCGAGCAAGAAAACAATGGAGATCAACCCCGACAATGGTATCATGGAGGAGCTTAGGAAGAGAGCTGAAGTTGACAAGAATGGCAAGTCCGTTAAAGATCTCGTCATGAAGCTGTTCGTGACAGCTTTGTTGACTTCTGGATTCAGTCTTGATGAACCAAATACGTTTGCTGCTAGGATTCACACAATGTTGAAGTTGGGTCTGACATTGATGGTGATAAGAAGATTTCAAGCTTAAGGGGGAGATTGTTGGTTTAAGCTTGAAAGAGGCTTAAACCGGAGGTTACTTAAACCGCAAGATGTCGGTTTATTGAAGAGATAAAGACTAATTCTTTAGGAGTTATCTAGAGAATATTATGTAATCCTAATTGAGTTATGATTAGGTTTAGAGGTTGTGGCTATATAAGCATATATCGAGTTGTGATATAGCTTATGAGATTGAGATAGAGAGTTTTATGTGTTTAAGGTTTTTGAGAAAGAGAGTTTGAGAGTTTGAGTTCTTGAGATTAATAAAGAGAGTTATTCTTTAAAGAGTTGTTCTTATATTGTGTTTGATTCAATATTCACTACGAAAAAATCTCACGATTTTGATACTTTAAACCAAAACATATAAAATGTTAGCAGTCGTTTTAATCGATAATATGCTTAGATGGTTGATAAATGTTTTTTTATTACTCTTATACGTTCGTAGGAAATCTTTTGTTTCCAATGCATAGTAAGAACTCGTATCCTTAAGTACCAATGCTTTATGCTTAATGCCTCATTAGAGATATAAAATGAGATTGAACTGTGTTCTAAATCATCATCATATAAGGAACACAAAGAAATACTTAGCGGTTGACAAAAAAAAAAAAAAATACTTAGCAATATAATAACTTTCCCATAAAAATGAAGAAGAATACAATAAACTTTTATGAAAAGGAAAAAAAAAACTATATAATAATTGTCCATTTTACACATCACATGAGTAAGTGGATTACAGATTGCAATCGATGAAATTTGGATCTTAGCTAAAAATTTATTACGTTACTATATACATCGAGTTTTAAGATGTTCATAATCTCAACCACAACCACAAGTTTGAAGAAACAAGAAACTGAGTAATAATAAATCGGGAAAAATGTCATTAAAATCCCCAACTTATTCAAAACATTGATTTAAATCCTCAACTCATGACGAAACGAAATAAATATCAAACTTATGTTGACTTTCCAAATAAATATTAAACTTATGTTGACTTTCCAAATAAACACCAAACTTTCATTGACTTGGCCATATTAGGCATGACGTTAAGTGAGTTAACAAACAATGTTAACACCTGTTAGTGTTGATCAAAATACTAACAAGTATTCCTTCTAAACACAAAACGACGTTGTTTTGTCATAACTGTTCAATAAAATCCCGAGTTTTAAATCATACTCTATTTAGGGTTAGGGATTTTGCTCGATTTGGGGATCTAAGATTGACTTTAGGGATTTAATTCAATCGTTACGACAAAACGACGTCGTTTTGTTGTTATATGAAACAATGTCGTTATCAATTAACACATATGTTAACAGAAAATTACCTCCGTTAACGAGATCTATTAACCCACTTAACGTCGTACCTAATATGGCTAGGTCAACGGAAATTTGATATTTATTTGGAAAGTCAACATAAGTTTGATATTTATTTGGAAAGTCAACATAAGTTTGATATTTATTTCGTTTTGTTATGAGTTGAGGATTTATTAACCCACTTAATAAGTTGGGGATTTTAACGACATTTTTCCCATAATAAATCAAATAAAATTTCATGGCTGATGGAATCTTTTCTCTAATTGTAGGTCCAAAAAAGCCTAAATTAATGGTGAAACAAAAATCAAAATTCAATAGCGATTTTACTAATTATGTCTTGGTTAAAAAGAGGAAAAAGCAAAAAAAAAATTAATCACAAAACTCCAAAACCACCTAATTGAGATCAAAACACGTGTCGCATGCCAATAGGGCGGTGGGTCACATGGTAAAAATTTCACTTTTATTTTAACTTTCTTCATAATTCATTTCACAGATTTCAACTTTTTTATTTTGCTATTTTGGATTTTCTCACCGTACACCGACGGCGTACCACTCCTTCCACACCGTCTACATTAAATCCTCAAAAAACCCTAAAACCCGAATCCAATAACCCACCCGGTCCAACCGGTTATTCAAACCCGGTCAATCCAAAATTCGCCTCGGAATCCAAACCTCCATACCCAATCTAACATGGAGCTACATCCAATAAAAAAATTCCACGTGGTGACCATTCATTGGCTCTAATTCTGGAATCCAAGAGGACCTTTTTAGTATAAAGAGCCCCTTCGTTGGTCCTATCACCTTCTCTCTCACTCACACTAACAGAAAACAAAAAAAAAAGAAGAGCACCAAAAAAAAAAAACAGAGAAAAGAATGGCGCGAAAATCCCTAATTTTCCCGGTGATTTTGCTCGCCGTTCTTCTTTTTTCTCCGCCGATTTACTCCGCCGGACACGATTACCGCGACGCTCTCCGTAAAAGCATTCTCTTCTTCGAAGGTCAACGTTCCGGTAAACTCCCTCCAGATCAACGCTTAAAATGGCGCCGTGACTCAGCATTACGCGACGGTTCCTCCGCCGGCGTAAGTCTACTTACATACATTTCAATTTTCTCCTTCGTCTAATCTCTGTTTTCCGACGAAACATTTTTCGCCTAAAAAAATCTCAGGTTGATTTATCCGGAGGTTACTACGACGCCGGAGACAACATCAAGTTCGGTTTTCCGATGGCGTTCACAACAACGATGCTTTCATGGAGTATAATCGATTTCGGTAAAACCATGGGACCGGAGCTTAAAAACGCCGTGAAAGCAGTCAAATGGGGAACAGATTACCTCCTTAAAGCGACGGCGATTCCCGGCGTCGTTTTCGTCCAAGTCGGAGACGCTTACTCCGATCATAACTGTTGGGAAAGACCTGAAGATATGGACACACTTCGTACTGTTTACAAAATCGATAGAGCTCATCCTGGTTCTGACGTCGCCGGTGAAACCGCAGCCGCTTTAGCCGCCGCTTCAATCGTTTTTAGAAAACGCGATCCTTCTTATTCCAGACTTCTTCTTGATCGTGCTACTAGGGTACGTTACTCTGTTTCACACTTTAACCATATTACATAGCATTGATTGTGGTAATTAATTTTAATCATAACTAAAATTGTTAAGACTGTGGCCGTTAAAGCAATTTTTTAATATTATTCTCTTTGTTTTTTTGTTTAATAGTCAAAAAGTTTTTAATTTTAATCAATTATTCTTTGCTTGTGAGATAAGAGATTCGTCTCCATTAATAATTGTTTTTTTTTGTTTATAGTTGGTCCATTTCTATGATTCGTTTTTAATAATTTGACTTTGTTTTGAGTATTTTTCTTACGTATATGTACTATTGAATAAATATTTTATCTGACGTATAGAAGATATATCAAAAACTCACGGATCTGAGATAAAAATGTTGTAACGTGGTCGCAGGTATTCGCGTTTGCTAACAGATATCGCGGCGCGTACAGTAACAGTCTCTACCACGCGGTTTGTCCTTTTTACTGTGATTTCAACGGTTACCAGGTAAAAGAAGTTATAGTTACTTTTTAGTTACCTATTTTAGTATCAGCCGTTGGATGATAAATGTTGAATTTGACTGACATCTGATGGTGGTGCAGGATGAGTTACTGTGGGGAGCGGCGTGGCTACACAAAGCCTCGAGGAAACGAGCGTACAGAGAATTCATTGTGAAGAACGAGGTGATTCTTAAGGCTGGAGATACCATTAATGAGTTTGGTTGGGACAATAAGCATGCTGGGATTAATGTCTTAATCTCCAAGGTAAATACTTATCACTTTTAATAGTATTTCAATTATTTTTCTGGTCAATATTGCATGGTTTTTGGTGCGCATTGATTGTTTGCTTATAATCATGTGTCAAGATTTGGTGTGGAATTAGCAAGGTTTTAGGGAAAGAGTGGCGTTTTTTTTTTTTCATATGTTTGTTTGGTTACAAGGGGACTACTAATGTATAAGAATTAAATTAAACATAGGTAGAGAGATGGTTGTGTCTGGTATATCACGTGTTTGTGGCACGACTTTTGATCATATAATTGGAAGTGGGGTTCACATTTCAATTATATGTTGTATGACCTATCTAGTTATTTTGGTCTTCTATATGTGTGCTTCAATATCTTGGAACAAACCGGCTTAGATTAGATGTGTGAACCAATGGAGTCTTTTGTTTAGATATATTAGACACATAAAAGTGGTTTGAAAACTAGGTCATGTTAGAGTCATGCTTTATTATGGGATATTAAATTAGAGAAGATAAAATGGGGGATGGATGATTGGACCTTGCACATGATGAATAATGGGAATTAGCCAATTAGAAATGGTCATGTGATGTGGGAGCTAAATCTTAAGGTAAGACATACCTCATTGGACATTCCCCTTTTTTTTGTCCAGTGTGTGCTCAACATGCCTCCTAGATTTGGCTTCATATAATTTTTAATAATATAACATATTACCAATTGGAAGCCAGAGCCTCACATGGACCCATGATCCATGACTACTTGACTAGTGAATGGATAAAAAAAATTGTGCATTTTTCGCATATATCTATATTATACTATAATATATAAACTTGATAATCCAATGTAGGTAGGTGAAATGTATACAGTATGATTTTGTGAGTTTGCATGTGGGGTGTATCACATGAGTAAACCTCCTATTTGTGGTTTTGGATATAGAGAGTATTTAAAAACTAAGGTATATAGCAAACATTATTATTAGTATCAGAATCAGAGTATCAGGCCTATTGGGTCAAGTGGGGACAGTAAAAGAGGGAAAGGGTAAAGAAGTCTTTGGATACTGTTACCAAGCATGTGGCTCAAACTCAAAAGGCTGAGAAAATAAATAAAGCGTCGTGTCCCTTACCAGTTCCCATTCTGCTGCAAAAGCCTAAGTGGGTTTTTTTTGTTTTGTCATTTCTCAACGGTCTCTTTTTTATCAAATTGATTTTTCAAAGGCCCTTTCACCATCTCAGTTTTTTCACATGGCGCTCTGTGTCAAGGTCCTTGATCTTTCTTGTTATTTTTATTAGTCTTGTCTTTATAGTTGTTTTTTGGCTTCTTGTTTTGAATTACAGGAAGTGTTAATGGGAAAAGCCGAGTATTTTGAGTCTTTCAAGCAAAACGCAGATGGGTTTATCTGTTCTATATTGCCTGGAATTTCTCACCCTCAAGTCCAATACTCTCGAGGTAATAATACAAAAACCCATCATTTTTTTCTCCATATCAAAGTACTTTTTCCCACATTCACGTGATTTACTTTTGTCTATTCCTCCCAAAACTTTTTCTATGTTTATCATTTAATTAATTAGTAGTAATCTGATATATTTTTGTCTTACATACACAGGAGGGTTACTAGTGAAGACTGGAGGGAGTAACATGCAACATGTAACATCACTATCTTTCCTCCTATTGGCTTACTCTAATTATCTGAGCCATGCCAAAAAGGTTGTGCCTTGTGGCGAATTAACTGCTTCCCCATCTCTCCTCCGTCAAATCGCCAAGCGTCAGGTAAGAGAAAAAAAAAAACATTGGTCCCAAATTTCAGACCCAAAAAAACAAAAAACATAGCCGTTTAGCTCTTTGGGACCAAAGCCTTTTGTTTGTGATTTGTGTGAACAGGTGGATTACATTTTAGGAGACAACCCGATGGGATTGTCTTACATGGTTGGATACGGTCAAAAGTTTCCACGTAGGATTCATCACCGTGGCAGCTCGGTTCCTTCGGTTTCAGTCCATCCGAGCCATATAGGGTGCAAAGAAGGCTCTCGCTATTTCCTAAGCCCAAATCCTAACCCAAACCTTTTGGTTGGTGCTGTAGTCGGTGGACCTAATGTCACCGATGCTTTTCCAGATTCAAGACCTTACTTTCAGCAGTCCGAGCCCACGACTTACATCAATGCACCACTCGTCGGCCTTCTCGGTTACTTCTCCGCCCATTCTTCTTGGCGATGAGCGATGGTCTTATTAGTTACTATCTCTCCTTTAGAGGTGTGCTGGAAAACTTTAGGCCACCCTAATCCTTTTTTTAATTATTATTATTAATGTTATTGCCACTCTTTTATTTTCTACTACTTAACCAATTGTATTGTAAGCCCGTAATTAGTGAAGAAGAGAAAGAGTTGTGTCAGTGTTTAAACTTATCTTTGCAGTCATTACTTTTTTGCAAATAGATGACTAGTGAACTATTAAATTCATCTAACTAAGTTCGTAAACGTAACAATTCATTATTTGTTTGTTGTCCTAATAAAAACGCTAAATTGAAAAGATATTGTGAAAACTGAAAAGGTTTAAACCGTTACCACTCTTATTGTAGACCTGGTGTATAGATATCAGCCCATTGGTGACAAAAAAGAAGAAGTCATCGGCCTATTAGTGAGGCCCATATAAGTGCGCACCGAAACAACCTTTAAATTACTTGAAAAAAAATTTCGTTGCAAATATCAGAAATGGGTTTTTGATTTTTAGGCTCCTCGATATCTACATGTTTTCATCTTCGTTTTTCTTTAGTCTAATTGAATTGATATTATGCAATTGTTGTTACATATGGCGTAAATTGTCGGAGAATTTACAAATATCTAAAATGATAAAATCTCTTCATAGATGGCAATGCCTTGGGCCAGGGGTGGCCTTCAGGAGAGCAGGTAGGATGAAGCTCTTTGGGCTTCTAATTGTAGGGATGCGTAAACAAAGCATTCAAATCGTTTATATAAAAACAAGCAAGACGTGAATTTACTAAAAACTTTAAGAAATGTAAATTATATGTGAGTTTAATCAAGCAGTTATTTTTATTATCTTTGTTTCAATTGCTAGTTTGTTCTAAATTGAATATGTTATATTATAATACTTGAAAATTTAATATTCTAAGTTTGCAATGTTTTCCACTATAATACAAAATATCTATTTTTCAAAAACCATTTTAAAACTCGAGAATTTATGTATTATTTCATACTTTTGTGATATTCAAACCTGTTATCGCATAGTATTATAATTATGATGTCATAAAACAATAGACGTTTTTCTTCATAGTATCCAAGATATTTCATAATCAGCTTTGATTCTAACTAAAATTTTATATTTCTTTTTATAAGGGATGTTCATTTCAGGCCTAATTTATATGATTATAACCAATGGAGCATTGATACATATATCTTCATATGATTATAACCAATGGATGATTGATACATATATCTTTGGGAACCACAAACCGTAAAAGGAAGAAACAAATTCGGGGTTTATCTCAAAATTGTACTTTGAAACGTAAGACAATTATCTTTTTGAAATAATACATGTTAGATTGTTGATCGCAGATATATGTTCATGTCCAGTATCCATGTCCTTGTACCTTGTCTTTGTGTTGTGTTGTGTTGTGTAAAAACGTACTCTATACTAATAGATAATTAAATAAGAAAGAAAAAAAACTTGGTTTTCTTCAAAAATATATAAAAATGATGTAAAATGATATTTTTCCGTTTTAGTTTAAGTGTTGTTTTAGTACTTAACATATCTGTAATTATAATTGTCTTTTAAGATAACTGATAACAATTTCGATGAAGTAGCGGAGAGTAACCAAGATTTTAGAGAAGGCTTACATGCTAATAGATTTCATATGTTATGTCCATTTTTTGTATACTTGTTGTTGTCTATCATTTTGTTATCAATTTCTTTTATTTATGTTAACGATCGTATTAAAAAAAATTGTATTTTGTAAACTCTTTATGATACAAAAATTTTGATTTGCCGATTTTAAAGGTCTGTCATGCAATTTTTTTTTTTTAAATTCTAATTTTATCTCTATTGTTTTAATATAATAACCAATAAAACAATTTATGGAGTGTATATAAAGGGACAAAATAGAATTTCAATTGTTTTCTTAATTTGGATGAAAAAGGTTAAACAACACTTGATCAAAAATGGAGGAAAGACAAAATATCAAAATCAAAAATATATTTGTTAATTAAACTATGTATAAACATGTACGTTGCAGGCCCGGCCCACCCATAAAACAGGCAAAACATCTGCTTTAGACCACAAAATATAATAAAGTTTTTAGGGCCACATTACAAAGAAACTTGCTAAGCCTAGTAGTTATGTAGTTAATAAGTTAGTGTCAAGTCTTGAGTTTGAATCTCGTCTTCTACAGTTTTTGTTTAAATTTTTAACAATAGTTTTAAATAAAAAATTATATTATTGAAATATGCTTGAGGCCCCAAATATCCAAAGACCGGGTCTGGTACGTTGTATATTGGTTTTTAGTTTTTTTACTAGTAATATTGATAGTCACAACCCGACTTTATTTCCACATGTTGTCAAAATACAATATGAGACACTCACCCACTCACATGTTAAAAAATATGAAGCAGAGTACTTACTTTTTTGAATGGAGAATGAAGGAGATAACATAAAACGAGTGTTGGGAATCATAAATCCATCAATTCATGAAACAATCTAAACACAAACGGACCAAAATCAGCCCCAACAAAGAACTTTTGAATTGTGTAGTGGTAGTTCAAATTGCACAACTTGGTGGGGGCATGAAAGGACAAGTGAGTAAATGATGATGGATTAATGTGAAACTCAGAATCCTTTTGACGCCTTGGTTTAGTTCTTGCCACCTTTGTTTTGAAATTGCTGGTTGAAGTTGTACCAAACCGAGATGTAAATGCACATATACACGAGCGAGAGGATATGCAAAATGATAAGACGACAACGATCGTTCTTATCCACTCATAAATATGAACGTGTTTTTGGTGATGAATTTAGAGGTTAAGCTCTTTTGTGTCCTCCTCACCAAACTTTTGCTTATGTGCATCCCTTCATCATTATTACTTTCATACCATAATTGTTTGCCTCAACAATAAATATATCTATAAGATCTTTTCACTTGTGAAGAGAATCTCTTTGTTTCGTAATCAACATGGGAGCTGTGGTCTAGTGGTAAGGAAGAATTGGAGAAAGATTGGAAGGAATTAACCCAGGTTCGATCCTTCTTGCAAACAAAAATCACATTTGTTAGACTTGGGCCTTGGTCCAAGCAATTCACATGGTATCCGGAATCAGGCTAACTGGATATCTCCGGACATTAGTCGGAAAGTATTCCAAATTTGGGGTTAGGCAGTGTGGTAGTCCGAATCCACATGGTAGCACTTCGATGTGTTCCCCCCGAAAATGACCGGATAAACCGATCGGGTATATCAAAAAAAAAAAAAACATGGGAGCTACTCTTTATTAAATGACTAAACATACTTTTACTCGGATTGGGAAACTAGAGCATATAAACTAGTATTTTCTTTAACGTCAAAATTTGAACTCGTTACTCCCGTAAAAAGCTATTTAAAACATTAATATTTCCCTTGAAATTATATGTTTTTTTGTTTGGTTGAATAAATCAATTAAGTATTCGATAATAAATAATAATAATAATAATAATAATAATAATAATAATAGCAATAGTGAATTTTATTCGATCTTAAATTCTCGACAGTCGACATACATGACAAACAGATATCTGTTAGTTCTCAAGGTTATAAAGTAATCCTACAATAATAAACCAAAGCATTACAAACAATGATCAAATACAGAGACGCCCTAACGCCTTCTCCTGCTCGTAAGAATATAAATGGTAACTATATAATCATAATCTAATGATTAAAATTACAAATTACCATTGTAAAAAAAAAACCTTAAGAATAATAAGTGTAGGTTCTAGGTAGGAGAAGTAGAAGAGTAACTCATTCCACTAGATTCTCCGGTGGACAAATCAAGAAGCATCTTCTTGTAAGGCATTGCACTCATAAGCCTGCACCAACAACATTCAATTCTTTTAGATTCAATCGAAAAACTCAAGTTTCTATAAAGAAAAGACATGTATCAAACCTCTCTTTGCGCTTCTCCAAGAACCGAGCTAAGGATGCTTTCCGAGCTTGAGGAACTGAAATTAAGCAATTTTTGAGTTTAGTTAGACATATGATGTGTGGAATGAAAATCTTGAATATATAATGATTGGATTCATATTGATATTTTAGATATACCTGAAGGAATCATGTTACCAGGAACTGCATTGAATGATTCGATCATGCTCATTGCATTAGTCGTAGCAATGGGGTTGTCCCTACATCTTGAGTAAGTATCAGTGTGAATGGCAGAGCTTGATGAGGCAGCAGCAGAAGTGTTATGGATTTGTTTTCCATACACTCTTTCAACTTCGAGAATCGGTTGTTGTTTCTTCAAACTACTCTCTCCAGTTTCACCTTTCAAACCGTTCCCCGCGCATAACATGATGTCTTGAGCCTACTCACATATCATCAATAGTCCAATTTAAAACATGTAAATGATATGTAAATGTTATTTGTATGAATCTTGATTTTATATATATATATATACCTTATCGGGAGATATGTCATTAAAGACGCTAACAGTTCCGCCATAAAAGATTGTGAGCTGAGGAGATGATCCTGAGGAAGCCACTCTGTTTCCACAAGCCCATAACAAAATCAAAATATGAAAAGATTGGAATAATTTGTTGAATTCTTTAGCATCGAAATTACCGTGGAACAAGAGAAGGATGAGTTGGTAAAGGAACTGATCCTCCTAGTAAAAGCGGCGATGCGTTCTGAAACGCACCGCTGAATTGGCCTCTGCGGAAAACGGTGGCCGCAGAAACTGATCCCCACTGGTATGCACCCGGAAACGCCTTAGCCTCCTAATTTGTAAACGTCAACATCTTTAAATTTTAAGATTTACATTCTAATTTTATCAAAAATGCCAAGAAATAAACGTGATCCAAACGCCAACCACCAAACGCCACAAAATTTTATATTATTTTTCCCCTAACTTTGCGGCTGGCAAACGACCGACCCTACCAGCTCTTAACTTGCACTTATTATCAATACAACTTTTTTTGTTTTTTTTTTTATGGTTAATGATTGGCCACATACACAAAAATGAAAATTCTCAAAAATTCTCGGCCAGTTTTCCGACCATAAACATAAGATTAGGCATAACAGAAGTATTCACAGATTTTTTTTTAAGTATTCACAGATTTGTTACAATTCTGAAACCAAACCTTAAATAATAGAAACTGCAAGTAAATTTTAAGTTAAACCAACCTGGAAATCTGAAGCAGGCATGAAAGTTGAAGTAGCAAAAACCTTTGCCTTCCCCAATTGTCTAGCTGCCTTCGTACTCAACCCTAAAATATCAATTTTTATGGACATCAATATAAGGCCAATCCTCACTTGTATAAAATATTTAATGGAATCTTTTTAAGTTTTGGAATCTGAATAATTATTTTTAAATAAAACAACTTTTGAACGATATATCCCTGTTTTATTTACGGCTATGTCAAAAGCTAAAACTGATATCATCTTGAAACATTAAAAGAAAAGATCATCGAGACAAGAACACAAACCTCGTTCTCCGACACCATCATCGATGTTAACCTCATGCTTAACGTTATTACTTAGATACTGCTTGTCGCTCAAACCCAGAAAATCTCTTTCCATTGCAAACCAAATCAATGACAAACTCTCAATTTTTTACGTCTCTCTCTTTCGCTGTTTGTGCCCAAAACATTTAAATATAAAGGAAGAAGAAAAACACAGAAGAAAGAAGTGGGAATCCACAAGGAAGGTTTCGTTTTGGTAATGTTACAGACACACTTTTGGAGAGGCCTATTTAACTCTTTGCTTTTCCTGTTTTTAAAGGCTTGATTGATGTTTGACAAAAAAAAAAAAAGGCTTGCTTGATTAAAGCATGTGGGGCATTTTTTAACCGGCAACTAACGGTTGGTGCTACAGGCTACACCGGTTAATTCCCACGTGTTTATTCTTTTGATTTTTTTACATTTCTGAGGACCATATCCATATTCAAGTAGACATCCGTCGGTGGCTCTTGTTTATTAGTGCATGTTTTATTTAAAGTTTTTTCAAAGGTGAATTAATTAGTTTGGATATTTTCTTTGTGATCTCACACATGTAAAAGGTGTGGTTGCTTTTCTTATGCAACGGTTTGGTATTTATCACTTCAGTTTTTTCTTTCTTTGAAAAGTATTCAACTGTTTAATAATAAATGAAATGAGATAAGCCGAGACTCTTTCGTAGAGGCGAAAAGTGTCACTTAATTGGATTTATAATAGCTAAACCACGAGGGATATTCAATGGGCTGAAAGAAGTTTCCTTGATTATCTAAGGCCCATAATTATGTTTTCGGCCCAACTTACATTAACACTGTCCACTATAGATTTGGCTAAATCCACTTACATATCAAAACTAAACCAATGAAGAACTTGAGTGAACTTTTGTAAATTAATACGTGAAAGTTTTGAATCTTTGATAAGTTATAACATATTAAAATATCATTTGAGAACAATTTTATCTTATAAATCGAGATTTTCCAACAGATACATGTAATTGATTATGTAATAATTTATAAACGAAAAACCTGGTTATGAAGCAATCTCTCATTGGCAGTACATTCAGAATTTCAGAAAATAAAAATATGGAAAAGAATTAGACGTTAGTTGGTCTTTCAAATTCCTAAGACCATTTGGTAATCAGCTGGCCAATTTTAAATTTATCATTTTTAATGATTAAAGCATATTATTATTAGGCCAAGTCTTCAATTGAGTTCTTTAGACGATATGAGAATAAATAATGATGAATAAGAAGAAAAGATTCGTTCAGACATTCGCAATAGGACGAGCAAAATGGTTTTGTTTTGTATCTCTATCCTATATTCCGTTTATTTTGTTCCATTATTCTCGACACGTTAACATATCTAACATTGATAATTGAAGAATATTAAACCCTTTTAATTACTTTTATTTACGCATAGACGGAAAAAATGGCATTTATAAGATACCAAATCGAATGTTTCATTCACGTCAAAGAAAGAAGATATCGATTTGGCCTATATAAGTCCGACAATTATACAAAAATCGTTTCGGAGATACAATCATATATTTATATATATATATATATATGTGTATATATATTATATATATTAATATACTATAACTACGTACATCTTATGAGGGAGAACAAAAATATTACAAAAATACAACTAGCAGTGGCTCTACTCGAGTTGTTGATTGATCCCTTTCCCACTTTTTCCTCTCATTTACACCATTTCTCATCTACAAAATGCATAGACATGGTAATTTAGATTTTATAATCGATATAGGAGCAAGAAAAAAAGGGAAAATTAAATTTGTAAATACCTTGTAATTTTCTACATTGCTTTCCAAGAAAAGCGAGAAACACGACGAGCAAGATGATTAAGGTGACGATTCCTATTATTATCGCCAATGTTTTCCCGACCCCATTATCGTCCTTATTGTCCTTCTCCCCTTCTGCCAAAATTAATAGCTAAAATTTTAAAACTATCCATCCACCTCTAAGTTAATAGTATATTTTTTCTCCATCAAAGTATAATATTCATAATTTTTTGGTCAACACCAAGAATTTTATGGGTTTAATACACAAATATAAACCATTAAACTAAATGTTAAAATCAGTCTATTATATTAAATTTTCATAATCCAGAACTTGACTAGAGAGATTGTCATCTATTTGGTTACGTTAAAAGGTGTTTTTTTTTCTTCCTTTATTTTTTTTGCTGATTACAACTTTTTAATTTTTATTAAGTTTATTTAAAATAAGTTTAGAGGAAGACTGACCATGACCAAAGTTTGGGCCTGGGGTCTGACGCGCGTGACTACCACCCACACTGAATCGCGCGTAACATTTCGACAAGTAAACGTATCCTCCCTGAGCCATTCCACAATCAGATTTGAGCCGTCCGATTGCATCAGACAAACAATCTTGGCACTGTGATGTACTTAGATCGCCGGAGCACTGAGCCACACCTTGAACATTCCCGTTGCCACCGTTCCTGTAAGGTCCATCCCCGGAACCTAAAGAACCGATGACGTCACTAACTTTGGTCAACGCATCCTGGTCGTTGAAGTCCATCGCCTGTCCACATTTGTTGAGGATCAACGTTTTGTCTTGAACCCCAAGGAACGATTTGTTGTCGTAACGGATCAGACAATTCTCCAACTGCAAGAACCCTGAATATGAGTTAGAACATAAGGTTCCAACCTGTGCGACGGCGCTTGATACGCACGTCGAGCAGGCGGTTGGGTCGAGGTCGCCGCGGCACTGGTAAAGGCCGTATACGGTAACGGTTGGTTCCGGTTTTCCGGTGGGAACCGTGAAGTTGGCGTAGCGGCTTTGGGCGGTGGAGCTGACGAAGGAAGAGAGGAGAGAGTTTAGATTTGTCTCGTAGCCGGAGCTAGGAGAGAATTTCGCCGGAGAGCAAACGGCGTATATGTAATTGTCCGTGGGGGAGGAGGAAGATGGGTTCATTAATATGACGGCGGTGAGAAGGAAACAGAGAAGGGACGTCGTCGTCTTTGTCTTGAACATGTTTTACTTTTTCTTTGAGAGATAGAGAAAGAGAGATGATGATTTGGTAAAAAAGAAGTTGAAGATAGAAGACTTGCTTTAAAGAGAATTAACGTAAAGAAGGGTACTCTTATATGTGGTTCCATGTTGCATGTTTTTTTTTTTGGTTGGGGACGTTCTTAAGAATTTCCACAATTTGCAAGTTCCATATCGTTGAAATTACTAAAATAATTGCAACTCTTTCTTCGTTAAGAGTTTTTTTTTTTAAAAGCTTTAATGTGGAGTTTGGCAATGTGCGTCGATTTAATGTCCATTAAAACTTTCTTTTTTGAATACAATAGTAATTCTTACTCATTTGAATTCAATTTTTATTTTGACAGTGACTTGTGTGAATTCGTTATAAGCTTTCTAGTTTCTACCATTATTACTTAATAATTACCCTTACTATGAGCCAAGAAGGCAATAAAAATTGAGGAGTTTCTTATAGTAGGGTTGTAGTTCGAATGCGTATATATACAAAGGCCAAATCGATCGGAATTTCCACGAGATTGATACAAACTAACTTATTTACATGTATATACAATCACAACGACAAAAATATGAAAATTTGCATTCCACTAGTTTTTCTGTCTTATACAAGATGATAGGACGAAGCTTCTAGCATTATTTGTGTGTGCTGTTTGCATATATATAAATATTGACAATAGTGGGTTTTTTTCGTTTTTCTTTATTATCAAGAAACAAAATCGATATGAATAATACCGAGTAATGAACGACGTATACGTCATGAAAACGAGTTATGGTCATTAATTTATTACATGTAGTATAGCGTATAGAGTTTGGATAGGCAATGGTACTTGAAAATGATTTTAGAAGATGAAAAATTTATTTATATAGATAGGGATATTGGCGTGGTGGTCGAGATGTTATACAAATTTATATACATATTTATATAAGGCTTGTATCATCTTTTTAATATTTTTTTTAATATAATGAGATCAATCAAGTAACTAGGCTTCCAACGTCAAAGTTCAGTTACGGGACCGGTGAACGAATTAGAGAAGACAATAATGTTATTTGACCGACTTTTGTTTAGTTCTTAAAACCACAACACCCCTCGATTGTATTGACTTTTTCTTTGCCTGTATGGCTATATATATTGTTATTGACTTTAGTAATACTATCTTCTTCCTTTTTTTTTTGGAAGTTAATTCTTTTTAAGAAAAACAAATATCCATTGTAGTATTTGTTACGGCTGCAGAAAGTTTATTTTTGTATCTATCTATAAATTAATCACAACATGCATGTAGTGTTTTTCATACTTACATAATCTAGTAACTATATAAGGAAACATTTATGATACTAGAACATTGATAATTATTAACGAAACAATGACAATAATGTAACAATACAAGTAATCATTTTGTTGATAAGGGATCCATTCGATTCAGTTATGAAGTTGAAATAATAACTAAGACATAATTGAGAGCAGAAAGTTCTGCTAATTGCATGGTGGAATTGATCAATCATATTACTTTCCATAATATTATTTTATTTTCACGTAATGTAACATAAGAAGAGAAAAGATATCAGTGAAAAGTACAGCTAAACAAAGACCGGATAAAGTTTGATAAAGGGGATTAGAAGTTGTATCATTTTATCCACTAAACGGATCAAGGGCCAACCTACACAAATAGACTTTTAAAGTCTTAATATTTAAACCCACACAAAGCTTTAATATCTATAGAATGTTCCAACATTGATAATTCGACTGTTGATTTCAATTCGGAATGTTATATCTGTATTTTTGTTTGGTTTTAGTTTGGGTTTTTGTTTTTGTTTTTGTTTTTCTTGATAATAGTATTCAAAATGAAATATAAATCTATTTAAACCATATTAAAATATAACTCGGTTTTAAACCAAGTATTGATTTTTTTCGTTAGCAGGTGGATCCATAATCATTTCGATGGAAAAAGTATAGATTTAGGGAGAATTAAATTAATGCAGATATTAAGGGATTTTTGGTGAGTAATTTCGTGGCTTGACTTCTAAGAAGTCATTGGTCCATTTCTTGAAAAAAATGATAAAAATTCGTATTGCGCTGTCGATAATTTTCTTGAATTTAGACTAACCTAATTAAGTTGACTCGTTCGTCAATTCCAAAAGGAAAATATATGTTTCTGGAAAAATTGTGGAAATCTTTCAGCATTGAAATCTACCTATTAAAATCAGTGGAGAAATCCAATATCCATATGACTATTAATTATAGATTTGAATGAACTTTTGATATGCTATTGATCGTCATCGTCTTATGTTTACATTCAAAAATTCCATTTCACTTAAGAGAAAATCTGGACAAAAGTAACAAAAAAAAAAAAAAAAATCGTTAATAAGAATTCAAAAGTTATATCACAAACTGACAAGATAAATTTTCCTCTGTTTTACTTTTCTTCTTCCCGAAGTCTACTGTCTATTTTCACATGAATATTTTCATAGCAAGATCGTATATGATTATGATTTTTTTTTCACATTTTCTCTTCTTACGCATCAATGATTGGTTAGTGAGAGCATTCATTTTTTTCACCTTTTAGACCCTTTGGGCCTTGGACATTCATTTAGATCCACCGTTGGAGGTGGTATGAGAATCTGGTTATTATGAATTTTTAAAGTCTTATTGATAATATGATACTCGTTTACAATTGTTGCTATATATTCGAGCATATCTTATATATCCTGAAAGTGTATAAAGAAATTAATCAGTGCCATATGTGGAAGTAGATTAGTTATGGATTAGGACATACAAATTTGTCAGGATCTAATTATTTTGAGGAATAAGGGTTTAAACTCACCCACCCTCTAGCTACCACATACTGTCCCTTTAAACAAAAGTTTTTCTATTGAAAAGGGAACTAAAAGAATGTAACATTACACATGTTATGTTAGATTAGACACCACAATAAGCATTATGTCTGATCCTGTCTTTTATTTATTTATTTCATGTTTAATGTGTAATATCTAAGGTAATATATAGATGTATCTTCAAATTGGTGTTTGTCAATAATGTTTACCTTTTTAAAATCGGATATTTGAGTTGGGCCTGTAATCTAAAATAACAGATCTTATGGGCTTTTATTCTTTATTTCTTAAATCAGCCCAATTATATTGAGACAAAAGCCATCTGTAATAAAAAATACGTCCCTAAGATTTTTGTTCCTTGTCAAAAGCCCATGAATTTATCATTTCTAATTTTATAGAGTTGCTCTTTTAACTCTGGAACGTTTTTCATCTGTTGAGCCAAAACCATTGAACTAACCTGGTTTTGCTTACAATCACTAAACGTATTTGAGATATGTTCGTCTTCAACTTAAATTATATAATCTTTTATTTGAATAAGATACAACCATATAAGATTACAAGTATACGTACTAACGTAAATCAAATACACAAATAATCTATATATGTCTAGAAAATCAAACACATCCCAATCTTCACCATAGATTACTGTAACTACTAAAAGATTTAACTAAAACAGATTCACGAGCATAACAGCGAATTTACATTAAGATTTATGAATGATTCTTAGGAGTTTGAGAAGATCTTTGTTTCTCGAGTTGTTCGAAAAGAGACCCATCATAGACGGCTCTCACTGTCTCTTTGTGTAGCAAACCGTTCTTGTCTTTGCACAAATTATACAATACCTTCCACTCCCCAAATGCTAAAATTCTGCCATTTTAGTTCACATAGATTATTCAGATTCATATGATCACGTTTTCGGGTTTTGGTGTAGATAAAATTAAACCAAACTGGTTCGATATTTACCCTCCTCTACAATCATTAGGTTCTCTGTTTGCCTTGAGAAGTTCTTTAAGTTCCTTGTTGGTCAAAGCATCACGATGTGTGTGAGCATGCTTCGCAAATATCTCCTCGAACTTCGAAGCCACAAACCTAACAAAAATAAAATTATTTTGATTTCCAAAATTCACTAATTACCTCTAAAGACACAAAACAGTTAGCAAATTAAAAGAAGGATTACAAAAAAAAAAAAAAAAAAAAAAAAAAAAAAAAAAAAAAAAAAAAACCATACCGTCCATCTTTGTCGTAAACGCCTGAATCGCTGCTATGTATGCCAAGGTTGATATTCTTAACCTCTATCGGAAACGAGAATGAGAATCCTTTCCCCTTGAAACCAAAACGCTTAAAGTGATTCTTTTTTTTTTTTCTTATGTAACGTATATGAAATTAAATTTGAACTGTATCAATATTTACCGGACGAGTTTTGCTGCTGAGACTGATGTTGATGAACACGGCAGCGAATGTTGACAACAAATATCCACATCCGATTGCTCTGAATCCTGTTCTTGTTTATGTTTGTTTGTCATGTCACATCAATAAAATTAATAAAACTGTAAAATTTATTTTTCTTTTGGGTTACAAAATAATAGATCTTCCTTTGAATATTAACAGATACGAGTATACGACCATAACAACCATGCACAGAAATATGTTACGTGAGAAGACAAAAGATCTCTAATACAAATCTGGTTTCGGATTTTACAAGATTGTTTAAGACATTTTGGTCGAACCAGGAGTTTTCAAGACCGTACCTTGAAATGTCTCTGAGGGATAAACGATGCCATCTTTATTTCTGTCGAAGTAGGCGACATGTCTTTGCAAGAAATTATCTTTTTCTGGAACAACTTTCACTTCTACAACCACACACAAAACCGTTTTAAGATTTAATTAATGGTAAAGATGCGTTATTTACTAATTAATTACCAGTATGGATGTTGGAAGAAAGTACCAGCAGTGGGAATAGAGGAAGCCATAATCAGAGATATAGAGAAAAAAAGATAAGTGAATGGTTATTAGAGAAAGTAACTGAAAATATTGAAAAGAGAATGGTGAAACTTTGTTCTTGTATGATAATAATTAATGTGCTAAATATTCGACTCGGTCTGGTGCAGCCGCGCGATATATTTATATACAGTTGTTCTGTATATATTATAACAAGTCATTATCTAAGTAAACATATCGTGTAAAAAACAAAAACAAAATTGTACATATCGTGCAAGACTGAGAAGGTTACTAAATCTAAATATGAACATATGGAGACTGATTAGTCAATGTTTATACAAAAATAGTGATATCAAATTGGTGGATGGTGATAATGCAACTATGTTGGAGATATATATTAAAATTAGAACGTGCTATTTAAAAGATAATCATACTAAATTCTTTTGTTTTCTTAAATAGAAATTTTAAAAGAGTATAGTATAGTATGTGATCACATGAGTACTCTTTAAGTATATGTTTTAATTTTAGAAATCTATCAAACATCAAGCGAGGAACCATAAGTTTTTGGTGAGGTTTATGATTTTTATCGACATCAAGACAATTTTTGATCTCAGGAAAGAAACCGGTGAATATAATTAAAATTTAATTAGTAAAAATTTAGTTTTAGCGGTTTTAGAGTTTGTATGTTTTTGTTGTCCTTTTTTTCAAAAATTGTCTCCATGTTTAAATTTATTTATTATATCCGGGAATTTCAACTTATTTCGTCGGCTTAGTTGTCAAGGATATTTTTTTTCTTCCACTTACGTATATAATTTAATCTTTTTAATAATATTTCAGATGAGAAAAGTAAAGTATATTGTATGCCGTGTGTGTTTTCTTAGTTGTTACGCCCAAACAAGAGAACCAATACAGAAAATAAAAGCCAATCTGGTTTGTATATATATATATATATATATATATATATATATATATATATATATATACCATATATACAATGTCATAGCAAGTTAGATTCCTTTAGCTTTGCAACGTTTTTATGTATTTGTCGAGCCAAAAACCATTGGACAAATGCGGTTTGGCTTACAATTTGTAAATGTATATATTGACTTGTCGTGACCGAAAAACAATTGATGGTTAAAAGATGTTGGAAATTGAGATATGTTTGCCTTCAATTTAAATTATATAATCTTTGATTGGAAATAACAAGTACGTACACAATTGATCAAATACACGAAAAACAATAAATTTAGAGAATCAAACACATTACAATCCATTTTTTTTGTTGTTGTTAAAAACTCATTACAATCTTCACACCATATATTACTGTAACATTGAATAATAGTTTTTTATATAAACAGATTCACGAGCATAACAATGAATTTAGATTGGGATTTATGGATGTTTCGTAGAAGTTTTAGAAGATCTTTGTTTCTCGAGTTTTTCGAAAAGAGAACCATCGTAGGAAGCTCTCACTGTGTCTTTGTGCAACAAACCGTTCTTGTCTTTGCACAAATAATGCAATATCTTCCACTCCGTATACCCTGCAATCCTGCATTTTTAATTCACATATATTATTCATATCACGTTTTCGGGCCCGGCCTAGAGGGCAAGCTACTGAAACCACCGATTTGGGCCTTAAAATTTAAAGGTCTTTTTACCTAAAAATTTGTTAAGTTTTTTTATATACAATAATTTTTGTAGGACCTTTTAAAAATATTGTGGGCTTTTAGAGACAACTACAACATTCGTTTTAATGATAAAAATCTAATTTAAACGAAATTTTTTTAAATGAACTTTAAGTTTTGCTTAGGACACCCAAATTTACCGGGTCGGCACTGCGGTTATGGTAGAGCAAATTAAACCGAATAAAAAAACCGAACCGTTTCGATACTTACCATCCAATACGATCGTTAGGTTCTTTGTTTGCCTTTAGTAGTTGTTTGAGTTCCTCGTTGGTCAAAGCATCGCGATGTGTGTGTGCATGCTTCGCAAATATCTCCTCAAACTTCGAAGCCACAAACCTAACCAAAATTAAACTGATTTAGATTTCCCAAATTCACTAATTACATTCAAAGATAGTAATATAGGCAATTTCTTTTTTTTAAATGAATGTAAAGTTAATTATATTCAATAAAAAAACCTTTGTTACATTATTGAATGCATCAATGCAACTTTCATAATCTATAGGATTTTATAATGAATCAAAAAAAAAAAAAAACAAATAATATATCTAATAAGGTATAGAACCAATCCATAGAACCAATCCAGAGTCGTAATCCATACCGTCCATCTTTGTCGTAAACGCCTGAATCGCTGCCATGTTTGGCAAGGTGAATATTCTTAACCTCTATCGGAAACAAGATAGAGAATCCTTTACCCTGTAACCAAACACATTTTTGATTCCCTTTTTTTTTTCATTTTTCTTTTGTAACGTATGAAACTAAATTTTAACTGTCTCAATATTTTCAGATTAATTACCGGACGAGTTTTGCTGCTGAGACCTATGTTGATGAACACAGAAGCAACTGCTGACAACAAATATCCACACCCAATTGCTCTAAATCCTGTTCTTGTTATTTTTTGGATCCAACAGTAAAATTAGTAAACACATCAGAAGATCTTATTGATATATAAGACCATAACAGCCACACACACATAGAAGACAAAAGAATGAAAGATCTATATTCTCTTAATACAAATCTAGATTTAGATATTACGAGGTTTGATTAGGACATTTTATAAGTTGACAAAAAAAAAAAAGAGGACATTTTATAAGACCGTACCTTGAAATGTCTCCGAGGGATAAACGATACCATCTTTGTTCCTATCGAAAAAAGCGACATGTCTCTGCAAGAAATTATCTTCTTCTGGAACAAATTTCACTCCTACAATCATCCAAAAAACGTTTTAAGATCGATTTGATGGTACATGTGTGTGATTGTGTGATTACTAATCACAGATATGAATGTTAGAAAAAAGTACCAGTGGAAATAGAGGAAGCCATGATGGGAATGAGAGAGAGAGAGAAAGAGAATGGTAAAGATGAGAAAGTAACTGAACAAAGTGAAAAGAGAAGGCGAAACACACGCTTCTTTTATGCTCCTTTGTTCTTGTATTAAATAACAATGCGATTAAGATTCGATTTGATATATTTGTATCGTCGTACTTTTTTTTGTTTTATACGAAGGCAAGAAAATGAGTGGGATGCTTTAGACATTTTTTACACTTATCAATTTATCATTCACGCACCATGTTTGCTTTCGCTGATACTTTCCTCGTTCTTTAAAAACAAAAAGTTAACAAATTGTTACTCCGAAAATTTTATTTTAACCTATCATTAATTTAATATACAAATTGTATTTTTTTTCATGTGTTTCTATTAGTTAAAAATTGCATAGTTTTGATCGTTTCGCATGGCCGACGGTATCTAATTAATAGAATGTTACCTAAGAGGCTAAGACTAAGTACATATATCGTATACGACTGAGAAGGTTAATTAATTTAAAAATCTAACTATGAATACATTAAGAATCGATGAACGGGTTTTATACAAAAAGAATGAAATACATTACTTATCGGCAAAGGAGATCAATGAAGCTACGGTGGAGATAAATATTAAATTCATGGCTCCATAAAGTGATTTTTGAAAGAGATATTAAAATGAAATTCATTTCAGAAAAAAAAAAATAAAGAGGAAATTATTAGTGGGTATATATGCCACGGGTGTTTTCGTATTGTTTCTATTTTATTTTAAAGCCTGCACACTTTTAAATGTTGGGTTCTTGAATCTTGATCAATGTTGATGAATCACATTTTTAATTTTTACAATTTTCACATGTATTTTAAAGCCTACACACTGGATTTAGGTTTCAATGTAGCCTTGTGCATGCAATGATGCAAAATAATTTTTTTACAATTTTCACATATATTACCAAAGAAAAACTTTGAACGTAACAAAATTATGGATTAAAATTTCAAGTTGTTTTTTTTTTTTGTATGATCGTGATAATCTTTTATCAATTTTTAGTGACATAAAAGTACACATGACTAATATTATTTCTTCCAAGTTTCAACCTTTCTTCTTATAGTAAAGTGTGTATATGTGAACAACTTTCATGTCCATCAATTACATTTTACCAAGCAATTAATATTTTCTCAAAATGCATTTTTATTAATGTTATGATAATTAAGGATTTTCTAAAAGTGTTTATAACAAAGACTGATTTGAATGCAAACTATAATCTAAATGGGAAATGTTTTTAAAGATGGTGAGAACGTTAAGTAAACGGTATCAATATGCACACGCATTGGAAATGTGAAGTAACAAAAAGGTCATTGCGTAAAGCTGAGTGCAACAGATTCCTTATGCTTTATTTCTTGTCTTGTCCAAAGGCTCATGATGCAAAATTGAAAACCCTACACAAATTCCTCTCCACATTCACACTTGGTATAGGTCGTTGCTTCTACAAATTACCACAACATTCCCTTTAGATTCTAATCCAATCCCTTGTGAAAATAACCATTACCCTATTGTTCTTCAAAAAAAAAATATTACAATCTTCAAATTGACAATATAATTCACAACATATATAGTAATATAGGATTTGAATTCGTTAATTTGGCGGTAAAAAGAGGTGGTAGAGTATCATATCTACCAGACGGATTTGTTGCTTTGTTTAGTACTTTGTTGCAACCACTTAGTTAAACCATCCTTTGCCCAAAAAAAAAAAAAAAAAAAAAAAGAAAAAGTTAAACCATCCATTTCAACTGCATGTTCTGCGTGTTCCGTATGTCGGTCTAATCGAGTATTGAAGAAGGGTTCGATCTCTAACCACTTCAAATTGTTATCATATTCTCTAACCACACTGCTTAAAATTTGGTCCGCAAGATCCCAATGTTGAATGTGTCTACAATAACATGACTACAACGAACATCTTTCATCATTCTGCCAAAATGAAAAAGTAAATTGCTGCCATACCTCCAACTTTTGCTTTATCAATTATTCGATTCTATGCTAAAGGCTCTTCTTGTAATAAGTAGGCCACATACACACACACAAAAGTAAAAGACCAAAAAAGTGAAGGAGATTGGAGGTTTATTAAGGGCACCTGTTTTTGGTGGATATATTCTCAAATATTACATAATACATAATCAAATGGTAGGATTAAGAAGGCATGTAGAAGAAAGGGTTCTGAGGCAGACAATCTCAAAGCCTTTTCAATGATGTTTATATACATTGTTTGTCTCTTAAATTCTTACAAATTCCTCATTACCTTCTTCACATGACACAACATTTCACCACTAGTCCCTTTGGGTCAGTTCTTCCTTCCTCATTACCTGATGATACATTCGGTTTAGGTTAGAAAAGCTCTGCATTTGCTTCTTTGCTCAGAGCAAACCGGTGTGACTAAACCGGGTTATGTAATAATACAACGCGTGATCCTTAAAACTAAAGAAAATTACCTTCCAAGGGTTGAGCTAACTTGCGGTTCTGCGATGACATCATTTCTTTTTTAAGCTGAATCAGTAAATCCTCCATTGTGTATTCTCTTCTCCAGTTGGAGAGCATAGGGAAGTGACTCGGATCAACCTAAAAGTTCGATTTGACCAAACTAGTTAAAAAAACATGAAAACAACAATGTATGTAGCTGAATAATTTGCAAAACAAGATCCCCATATCACTGATGTAGTTTGTTCCAAAGCTTACCACTCCATTCTCAGGATTGACACAAGCCATGTTTATCCGAGTCTGGAACCTCACAGTAGGTGGACTTTCCGGATAATCTTTTCCACAGAAAAGCTTCAGCTGAAAGATTTTCCCTTCATACGCAGTCTGATAACAAAAAAAAAATCAAATCTTTCTTCTCAAAATCCCAAAAGTGGAAACAAATAGTAAAATGATTCCCTTTTGTGTCTCTCCTAATTCACCAAAATGGATTAAAATGCTACATACGTCTAAAACTCAGCTAAGGATCATTTCCAGTTATAACAACAAGCAGCAGAATCTAATGAAACATTGAAAGTTATCTTGCTCTATCATCAAAAATTGTATCTTTATTCAAATCTAACGATGAAGAGATTTGAGAGTTATCTAGCTCTATTATTAAAAAAAAAATTGCATCTTTAAGTTTAACATTTGGAAAATTTCTTGCTCTATCATCAAAAATTTCATCTTTTAAGTTTTTAACATGTGGAAAGTTTCTTTCTTTAGCAATACTACAAGTTATAACGATGGAGAGATAGAGAAAACGTACAGTATGAGGACCAATAATGGTACCAGTCCAAGATTGCATCAAAATATCATCAGCATCATCCATTCCATAGCTCACAGTACCATCTCCAATTCCTTTCTCACCTCTTTCAAGCTCTTCCAATAATCTAAAGTTTCTTGGAACTGCAACAAACAAAAAAGATACAAATGAATGAATGATGATCCGGCGATATATAGAGAGAGTTGGTAATCTGTAAAATCAAAATCGTTACTTTAAACTCAGGAAGCAACAACAAATTCAAAGAAGGTCAAGACACATACTAAACCCTAGATTCCAAAATCAAAGAGACTTACCAACGACCTTCTCTTCTTCCGAACCCATTTAGATAAGATGATTGTGGTGAAAATTACAGAGCAGTATCTGAAGGATTTGGCGAGAGTAGATGAAGAAACAGAGAGAGGTAGAGATGAGAGAGAGATAGTCTAACAGCTACTGTTCATCAGAAGGATATGAATTGGAAAAATTATTGGAAGAAGAAAAAAGAGAGAGAGAGTTGGTCAAGTGCGTGAAGTCGTACGGTAGTTATTTTGCAACCCCACTTTTTCTCCACCACTTCCAACAATAATCTATTTGTATTTTTTTTTAATTTTAGAAGGAAAAGTTTTGAGTTAGAAGAAATCTATCAATCTTAATTTGGTATCCAATACACATTGTCCTACTAATCCGGTCCAAAAAGTGATCAAATCACCTACTAATTGCTGGTCTAAAGAAAGGTTTGATTCTGTGGAAATAGTTAGAAGAACATTATCTCAAACGAACGTGATGGATTCTATTGAAATTAATGGTTAGTGACATGTCACCATTATTGAGTTAGATAAAAAAAAATAACCACTATGACAAAATATCAACCAACTATAACAGCGAGGACAATAGATGGTAATGGTATAGTGGACCTAGTGGTGGTTCTTTGCTTCGTTCTTTAGCATTTGCATCCAATGTTTTCAAGTTTTACCACAAAATGTCCGAATAAACTAATAAATAAATAGAAGAACAAAACAGAGGTGGTTTCATGTCCAATTAGATTATAGATTAAAAGTCGATCTATCTTGTTTTGAAATAAACCAATCATCCATCTCTCCATCATCACTAATGTTACCAAGAAGCTCATTTCTTCTCCGATCATAACATCTTGACTCTTTTTCGTTCTTCTTCTTCGTATCATCATCTTTTTTCGCTTCAGTCCCATTGCTTCTAATCCTCTCTGTCATCTCCAACTTCCATTGCTCTCTCTTTTCTGCGCTCTTTGAAACATGACTTCTCCCTCCTTCCACTGGAAATCTCATGAAGCCATCTTCTTCTTCTTTTTCTTCCTTCTGTTCTTCTTCTTCTCCTTCTTCTACAAAACTCCACGTCTTTGTAACTCCATTGTGACGATCACTACCCATTTTTGAATCCGGTATGACATTTGAAGCCTTTTGTCTCTTGTGATCACACTTCAAACATACTGCGTTTCTTCTGAAATTGATGTAATTGCACCTGATGATGTATAGAAACATTATCAGTTTCCAACAACGATCGCCAGAATTAAAAAATTTAAACAGCCTTTTAGCTTCAAGGTTTAAGAAGGATGACTCACGACTCGCATTCCCACTCTCCCGGATTGATTTGACGCGATGTAGGCTTGTCTTTGCACCTTAAGCATCTTGTGTTTTTCGAAAAATTAAGGAAATTGCATCTGCAGAAGTAAAAACAAAAATCTTAAACAGGTTTTCATGGTTTTAATCAGATTAAACACTAACTGATGAAACTGTTAGTCCTCACGTTTGACAAATCCAATCTCCTTTCTTCAGTGGGAGATGATCTTTCTGTTCTTCCTTCAAGTGTTTCAGCCTTTCCTCAGAAAACACATCACATCGCAAGCATCTTATGTTTTTAGCAAAATTTAGGAACTTGCATCTGCCAGATAAAAACAGTTCATAACAAAAAAAGAGCCCAAAGATCAATCAATATCCCTGAAACCAAATTATAAATTTTATCGAGAAATCCAGTAAGTTTACTTACTCTGTACAATGCCAATCCCCTGGCCTTTTTCTTGGATCTCTCTCCTCACAGTCCTGTGAATTTGGCTGGAGCTCATCTCCAGCTGTCTGAGTCTCAGAAGATTCAAAATCTTTTAAGCTATAGGCGACACTTTCTCTAAGCAACTTCCTCACAGAATCTTCAACAAGTTTGGTTTGACAGGCACGATTCTCAACAGTAGGAGAAATGGAATCAAGCCCGTAAGTTAAAAGTATACGCATGACATCTATAGTCCGAACACCTTCATCATCTCGTGCTTGTGCATACGCCCTTTCACATTTCCCTCTCAAGTTGCAAGAGCCACACACCTACTAAGTAAATGTTTAAGCTTGGTTAAGTAAGTTTCAAGTGAAACCTCAAACTCTTATAAGCGTGTTAATCCAAAAAAAGGGTTAAACACTTAAACTTAGTGACTGAGAATGAGAAGAATGAGGAATGCATACATACATTTCCTTCATCAATGCCCACATAAGCTCTTAAACGCTTTCCCGAGTTCACGACCTTCCTGTCAGTGCTAGGACATCCACAGCCAGCAATCACTTTGATATCTTTCTTTGACAAGTATCTGCAAGTAAGAAAATTCCTGTGAATCCTCACCAATTAACTAAAAAAGGAATGATTTTTAGCTACTAGAAAACAAATGCAAGACTAGAAAGAAGGATCTGTATATTTTCCTTATCTCAGGCATTTAGTCGAACACCTGGTGTGCAATATGGATTCTTCAATCGCATTACCTGACGAGAGTGAAACGATGGCGGGCAAAATTGAGACAAGCAGTACGAATATGATTCGATTCCTTAGAACTCATCAATGGATTCCCGCTGCTTTCTACGAAGTAACCTTTTTTCGCTAGCATCCCAATTAAATCTAGCCACTCGGGCCATGGGTGCGAGCTTGGATCAACCAAACCTGGTCTAGAGATCTCAGCGTTTTGGGTTTTAGCTAGACCGTGGAATGGTCTTGTGTACCTAATGATCCGATGGAACAATCTATGGTCGGTCTTGAAGAATCTCGTCATGAGAGTATTGGCGGGTAAATGACAAAAGACATCGACTTTATAGTAATCACGATTTGCTCTTCATACTTTTTGGGAGAAATTCAGTAGACAAACATCACATCTAACAATCCATTACATGGTGCCGTCAAAAAAATAAAAATACATTATTATATGGTACCTAATTTTACACTAATCGTCTGCTTAAGCTATAGTTTTTTTTTTTTTTTTTCTTTTTTTGTTTAAGCTATAGTTAATTTCGGAGAAAGCAGCAAAATGCAATGTGTTTTTGTTGAAATAAGAAAAACATTTGTTTAAATAAAAATACATTGTATTTTGCGGGCTTATCTGAATTAACCATAGTTTAAGCTGTGGATGAGTGTAAAAAAATGGGAATTAGGTTTTGAAGAAGATTAGAAGAAATGAGACTTAAACTCCCTCCGTTTTATAATATAAGTCGTTTTAGCTAAAAGCATGTAGATTAAGAAAATTTACTTTTGAAAAGTTCAACCAATCATAAAAAAAACTGCATAATATAAATAATCATAAAATATTAAAGTAATATATAATTTGCATAGAATCTTGAAAACAAAACAAAATTTTTTATCTAAAACGCTTTATATTATAAAATGAGTGGAGTATATTATTATATGCAACATCAAAATTAGAAATTTCAATAGCCATTTTTATTGGAAACCAAAGAACCTAGACCTGGACTTTCGGTTATCCGTTCGATTATCGGACTTTCGGTTATCCGTTCGATTATCGGTTAGGTCCATTCGGTTTAGTCTTTTCGAAAAAGAGAACGTCAATAGCATCGTTTTGACTTCTGATATGCAGTTTTCTGTCTCGTTTATTAAACAACTATTGTTGGGTGGGTTGGTGTTACATGGCCCATATAAGAGTCCACTTAGGCCCAATGTACAAACGATGTTATTAACCAAACAAACTTCACATCGAACAATCCATTACACGGTACATAAGTTTTACTAAAAGAAAGGGAAAAAAACCCACGTGTAGTAGTAGTAACATGCCACGTGTGAAATTCAGGACAACACGACATCGCCGAGAAAGGACCGTCGTTTCCCCCGAGAGATCAGATCACCCGCCGCCGAAAGCAAATTTAGACCTGTGGATTGGACCAACAAACACCTCTCTGATTTGGAGAAGAAGGCTTTGAGGAGCTAGCTACTTTCGAGATTTTAAACGCCGATAAGCATTCTTCCGCAAAGCTTCGCCGGATTTTCAACTCCGAAAGCGGCGAAATTTGATAAGAAAATGGTAGAAACAAAACAAAACAACTATAAGTATAACAAGGATTAGAATCAACGCCACCATCTGAAACTCAGAGGAGGAAGAAGAAAGAGCATCAGACTAAAACCCGGTTAACAAACAGAGAAACTTATTTAATCAATTTGGTTTTGTTTATAACAAAAAAATATCTGAAAACACGTACAGTACAGGAAAAAAAAAAAAAATGAGAGAGAACAAAATATCTTCATTATCTTTACACGTGGCTTATATTCATTGGATTTTCATAGAAGAAATTGTGACTGGTAAAAAACCAAAAAGACACTCTTTCATCACCATCACAAAAGGAAAAATTCAAAAATCTAACAGAACCACAAATCTCTTAAAAATGAAACTGATCCTCGCGTTATTAATATAGTTCTATAACTTCTATTTGTCACAATTATTGAAGAGGTAGAATTGGTTATTGCTTGGACTTCGATGAACGTAGGATCCATTGTTACGCATCGATCTCTCTACGCAACTCTGACATGTTTCCGAAGTTGACGGCGATGGAGGAGACCGAGAGCGTGATTTTGACGATTTTGATGAAGAAGAAGACGTCGTTGAAGTTGGAGGAGACGAGTTTGTTGTTGTCCTCGTTGATTTTAGTGGAGAAAGGAATACGTGGATCTTAACATGCGTCGTTGTAGCGATATCGTATTCCTCCATGAGATTCTTTAGATCCTCGTCGGAACTTACGGTTACAAGCGCGTCGAGATCATCCGTTGGTAACTGACACCGGAGACTACTCACCGCAATCCCGCAAATCTCGCCGAGCTTTTTCGTTAGCTCGGTGAAGGATATGGAGCGAGGGACGGAGAGGACACGTGTATGACCACCTTGGTAACGGAGCTTGCCGTCGGGATAACGTGGGGTGATTCTGCCGTCGTAGCTACAGAGGAATTTGACGGTGGTTGGATTCGGAGCCATATCACTTTTTAAGCTTATTTGCTAGCTCGGAGGAGGAGGAAGAGGTTATTATTTTTGTTGTAAACTTTTCTTGAAGCCAAACAAGTCTAATAATCGAGCGTTATATATAGAGGGGTTTTCCAAGAATGCAAAGGAGTGTGAAAAGCGTAGTTATAAAAGGGGTAATGATTTATTCTTTCTTTTTTATGTGTCGTGTAATTTATCTAGAAAAAGGTTATATCGAAAATAAAGTTTTTGCCGACGTAATTTTTTTTGTTTGGGAATATTCTCTGAATATTTTTTTAAAAATAAAAGTGAAAACTTCATAGGACAATTTTTGACGCGTGTTATAAGATAAGTGGAGGGCGAAGGACCCATACAACAGAATTTATGCTAACCGGTCACGACCATTGTCGATTTTTGAATTTTTCGTGGTAGATTTTACTTAATAGGCAAGCATATATGTTCATGAATGAACACAATAATGTCAAATGCACTACAACAAATATGCACACAAAGATAGTTCTTATAATGTTTGTTTGATAAGAGTACTATAATATAGATTATTTTTCTCATATATGGTTAAACCGATTCTAATTTCAGTTGTACAGTAAAAAGTCTAGATATTTTTCTCATATTTTATCTTTCTTTACACAAAAACCATAAATGGGAAAACAAATTAGATATTTTGCTATATTTCTTCTATCCAACATTATTTGATATTTTGGATTGACGTAGGCCTTTGTCTTGTGCAACCGGGTCCCTTGAAAAGCCCACAACGACCATGAAGATTTGCATTGCAATATCGTAAAATTCTTGATATTTTATAATTGAGGAGATATTATTATATGAGGCCACATACATAATCCGATCTAATAGAGGAATCAATTGGGAAATAACATTTGATGTTTGTATAATGACAGTCCCTGTTTCTCCTATTACTTGATTAATGATTTTTTTTTGAACTTCATATCTAAGTTTCAATAAATTAAACAAGTGATTTATCTCATTTGTGCTGTTTTTGTGCTATTAGCTGTTATTTTGACAAATTCATTTTATGTTGACAAGATGAAGATAAATTCATCATAGACTACTCTATATCTCACAAGAAGCTCTCTGAATTTGGTCTCAGCCCAAGCTCTTCAGAAGCTAAAGCTACCGCTGAGGATGCAAGTTATGCATCTCAATAGAATTCAAAAATAGACTTGACAAGGACATGGTAGTGATTAGAGAAGTAGAAGTAGTTGGATCAGTGTGGGCGGACAAGTTTATCCATTTACTTACGTTCAATTGTTTTCTCTTCGAAATGATGAGGTCACACTTCACGATAGAAGCTTTGTTTTTGGTCACACAGTTTTACGATAGTACGATAGAAGCTTTGTATGATTACCTAAAATAAAAAGAAATTTTATTATTATAAATTTAATAGTGGTTTGAAAAAAAATATATAACCATAATTTTCATTAAAAAAAACATATAACCAAAATTTTAGATCTGATTGGTAACACAAAACTGGACAGTTTTGTTAGCGGATAGAAAAAAAAAACTGTAAAAATAAAATGATATAAAAAATTGTTTTGTTGGCAAAATCATAAAAGTTCAAAATAAAATCAATATTATTACAAAAGTACCTAAAAACCTTAAAATGATTAAGAAAAAAAGAGGGGATATTTTCACCATAACTTTGGAGAAAAAAGTGCACTTACGAGAAAATGATGGGGACCAAATGGTTAGGTCTTTCAACGGACTTGTGATTTACTGAAACAATGACCCTACGTACCAAAACAAAGTGACACTATTTTGTTTATGTGGCAACCATTATAAATTGGTTTTTAAGGATATTCGAGTGGCTTACGATGATATAATCTATAAACAATTTGTGTAAGGCATAATAACATTACTAACATGGAGATTACAATAAAAAAAATTCATCCTCAAAATCAATTTATAATTTTATATTGTGTCATCTCTGGCTGCCAGAAAATAATTTGTAGTTTACAAGTTCATATTCCTAAAACTATTTTTCATTAAACAATACAATAAATAAACACAATTTGTATAACTATAACCAATACCAAGAGCCTTTGAATGTCGCATCTAAGTATCTAACTTGTATAGCCTTGTCATCTCTACACACACATCCTTATGGATGCGTCATATTCCCATAGACCTTCCATCATTTGGCGTTCGAGTTTCTTCAGTCTCCCACTGATCCAGTTGTTATGTAGAACGAAGCAATGCTTCTTCTCGCACTCTCCTCTTACGTCTTCCTTCAGCCATAGATCTCCGTAAGCTCCGTTCGGGAACAGCTCTCTGTCTAAGAAATGAACGGTCAAGTTTGTCTCTGGTTCAAGGCATTTATCGTCTCCCACTCGATAAATTCCACCTTCTCCGCATAAAGTGTCGTAGAAGCTAGGCTGCTCCGAGAGACCGGAGGTTGCAGCATGCTTTACCACTTTCTCCATTGCTGCTATAGTCGGGTCATCTGAATGTGCAAAGTAGAATCCTGAGTTCAAGCGCCTTGGTCGGTTTATCGGTACTGCAAAAATCAAACATAACCCCAATTCATTAGAATTCAAAAGTTTGGTCCAATTGATCAGTTCATCATCATCACCTGTTGTGTTGTATTCATCGGATTGTGCGGTAAGAACAGAAGGACCGAAAGATTGAAGCAGAGGCAACGGGTTTCTGAACCAATATACATCTACATCACTCAAGAGAACGTTATAGCCCAACTTCAGAATCTTCAAAACTGTTCTTGACTTAACTTTGGTCACTCTCTGGAAACACTTTGATCCAAAGTGGCAGTCATTGAAGCTTATATTCTTTGGAGCGTATGGATCAAAGAAAACTGGCAGACCCTGCACGAGACCAACTGACTATAAACTCTCTATTGACCCTATGATTGTTCAATGTAGTAAGAAAGAGAAGCAAGAGACTTTAATTACCTGCAATATAGAAAACTGATAAGTTTCATCATCAAGGGCACAAACTAAGAAATTTGGAACTTTGAGGCGGCGTAATCTGCAGACCCAACTCATCAGCATGTCCTTGTAGCTATACCCAGCAATTGAAAGAACAACAGTTTTGTTCTTGTCTGCAACTAATGGGAGAAGAGACTCCAGGTCAAAAGGAAACTTCAATGGTGGCACTGCCTCATCTTTCTGCACAAAATCTAATTTCAAACTCCGCAATTTAGTTCTACTGATACAAGCTGAGATCTTCTCTCGCGTCCGAAATCCTAAACTCTTTCCTTTTGGTATAGACAGATCAGTGGAACGATCTGAAGCGCTAACAAACATATAGCGCTTGTTGCACTTCAAAAGCTTAGGTAAAGTATAAGACCTAGAGAACAATGACCCGTAGAGCTGCCCGAGACGGGAGTTTCCAATATATTCCCAGTTTCTTGTGTTGGGTTCTGAGACATTATCACTCCTATTATCTATGTTCTCTGCATTGCCTAGGAAAAAGCTCGATATGGTTGAAGTGGCATCAAACACAAACCTTCTTTTACATGACATAGCCTCGTTAATGATCCATTGATTATGAGTTCCTCTTTGATACAAAAAAGGTGGAAGCACTCCACAGTGCAAGGGCATATTAATGTTGTTCCATGCCATAATCATTTTGCCTTCACTAGAATTTGATTGCCAACTCCGCAAGCTTATCATCTTTTGCAACTGTTGACACAAAGAACAACGCGATCGAAATTTGATTAGGGGAGGATCAGATCAGATCATTATCAACAAAAACAAAAGTTTCCTCCTCCATACCTCCCCAAATCTCACTCTTTTCCCATTGTCCTGACGCCAAAAATGCCTTGTTTCGTCCCAATGGAACGGGAAACGGGGAATTCCCACTGATGAAGAAACAAGAAGCCAATCACGATCAAGCTGGTGAGCATAACTCAAAGCAGATATGAAATTTGGCAGTAAAACAGTCTCTGGATCCATCAGAACAGCTATATCTGATTGATAAGCTTCACTTCTCGCCAGCATCGAATGTAAAAATGGAGTGCCAAGAAACCTAACAGTTAAACCAAGATGTCACATGACCAAATCTTCCCTTCCATAATCACTTAATGCCAACAAGTGAGAAACACAGAACATGCCAATCAGATATAGAACCAAAGGGAGTGTGAATAGAGGAGCTTACGTGAAATCAACGGTGGAATCAAGAAGAAGACGGGAACCAAATTTGTCGGTGAATGAAGAAGAATCAGAAGAAGGGTTGTTTTTGTGTTGAGTAAATAAAACAACTGTGATATGGGAAGACAAAGCGAGCCATGAACGAAGAGCAAGTAAAGCTTGGCTATTTCCTTCCCCATTGAAAGAAGTGAAAATGGTGATTCTTGGAGCAGCAGCAGCAATGGAATCGCCAGAGTATCTGAATGGATCATTGAGTGAAGTTGGAGATAGAAGCTGAGTGCCGTAGAAAGAGAGAGCGATTAGAAGAAACCCAGATAGCCAAATAGACAACAGCCCAGCTCGAAGACCCTGTAAGATTGATTCATCACATCAAGTAAAAGTCAAAAACTTTTCAGGAAATTGAAACACAAGATCTCGAAACAAGTTGAGAATGGAACCTTAAGCCTCATGGGAAATCGAAAGAAGAATTGTTGAAAGAGGAAAAAGAGACTTCAGATAATAAAGACAAAAATGGAGCTTTAACGGAAAAAAGGAAGAAAATGGAGAAATACCAAAACTTCAAGAAGCGGAAAGCCGGCGGGAGGAATGGGGAAGAAGAAGAAGAAGACATGTGAACGCTTTTCGTCATCTTCAAGAAATTGATTGCAGAATTTAACAATCTCTTCTTGTCCCACAAAAGTAAGACTTTTTAGGGTTCTTATTTTCTAACTCGTGAAATTCGCCTAACGATTTAAACATTTTGACTTCGGACTTTTTTTTTTGGGTCACAACTCTTATCTTAATTAGTTTAATTTTATACGATTTCATTAGAATGTGGAACGTAAAAACATAAGACACAGATTTTGATAATGCAATGTTTCAGAGAAAGAACATCAACTGACAAATTTTCACATAGAAACGCTTAACCAACCAACAATATTGTCAAACTAGTCTCAGTCAAAAATCTTTGGATTTTTCTTCTCAAGAACTAAGGAAAGAGCGGTTCACAATGCACTATTTCGCTCACAAACCGGTGACTTTATAGTTTTTGGTTATACCGGTGTCCGTCCAGTACTTTAACCCAATCCTTTGATCCACCGCGTACATCAGAAATGACCAAGTCTCAGCACAACATTGTCCCGGATACAGTCTTACACCAGTTTGCTAGAGTGTTCATTTAGCACGATGGCGCCTGTGGGGGGATCTTGATCTGGATCTTGACCGCTTTGACCTGTATCACAAATCAGGTTTGAGTTCCATTGAATAAAACAAGAGATACAGCACACTCTTTTTTTTAATTCACCTGTGTAAGACAGAAGAAACATAGAATACATACCTGGATTTTTCATGAGAAGAGTAGAGAGTATGCTTGTGCTGAGAATGCTTGCTATGTGGTGACCGCGAAGAAACATGTCTATACAATCAAAACATATATGATACTTTTTGTGGTGAGTTTTCATACTAGCTACTCCGCTTGGCGTACCCATTATTGTCTTTTGTCAAACCTTTTGCTTCCAAAAGTTCTTTAAATTCACAGAGTCTAGTGCTAATATACACTAACAAACATATAGAAGAAACACTAGTGATTTCATAATGCTAATAGTTTTAGAAAGCTACCTTCTTCTGGACCTTCCCGGAGATGGTGACCGATTCCTTCTTTTTGAAGATGATGACTTCCTGAAGAAAGACAAAAAGTTCGTTAGCATTAGACAAAAGAAGCGCAAATAACAAAACTCAAAAGCAGAACACTCTATTGTCACCTTCTTGAATCATCAGAGAGTTCATCACTGGATGGAGAAGAGCGTCTTCTTCTGGACCTCACAGGAGATGGTGATACATTCCTTCTTCTAGAACGGGACTTCCTGGAGAAAGGTCATAAGAGAACCATTGTGAGCATTGATAAATAGCATTAGACAAAAAAAGCGAACCGACAAACTTAATGTAGAACATCCAATGCCACCTCTTTGAATCATCAGAAGATTCATTACTGGTTGGAGAACGTCTTCTTTTGTCCTTGCTCGAGCTTTCAGCCCGCCTGTGTCTTGACCTTTCTTCTTCCTTTTCCTTCTCCTTTTTTTTACCCCGGTCTTCCTTGGAATTAGTTATGTGAGGCCTCTCTACATCCCTTGAGTCTTTCTTTACATGGGGATCGGTAGATTTTTTATTTGATTCAACGCCTTTAACTTTCTCTGCTGACTTTAAGTCATTCTCCTTCATTCTATCTTTTGAGCCATTCTGAGAATCTACTTTCTCTTTCCCACCTTTCGTTTCATCTGTTCTACTTCTATCCGTACTCACTTCGTCACTCAAGTCTTTCCCAGAAGTTTTATTACTATCCTGACGAAGGTTGCAATCTGATTTCAAGCCAGAATTCTTCCCGTGAGGTTCATCTAGTACTGCATCTTTATCACTATCAGTTCTGTCAGGATGCTCTTTTCTGCTTCCTGAAGTATCAGCAGCAAGTCCAGAGTTGGCGCTTACATCTGATATTTTGGTACTACCTGCCTCATCATCTTTTCTTCTGGAGCCTGGCATTTGAGAATAATCCTCCAAGCCTGACTTACTATTCTTGCCGGAACTAGCATTGACATCAACTTTTGGATCCAATTTCGCATTGGCCATTGCTTCAGGTTCAGAAAGTTTCTCAGTGCTTGGCCGCTGACTAAGATCGTGTCTTGACCCCACACCAAGACTCTCAACTCCATCATTTTCATCAGCATCCGCATTAGAAGCAGCATCAGTATCAGCATCATCATCATCAGAGGCATAGCTAGCAAGACCTAGCACATCTGCTGGAGAGCCAGAACTAGCTTTGTTATTTGCGCCTTCTACCGAGACCAAAATCTTTGCCGAAGCCTTGTGGAGTGGATCAGCTGTGGAGAGAAGGGATGATGACGTCTTATGATTGTGCTGTACACTGTCATCTGAACCATGAATAGCACAGCATAACAGTACAGAAGATGGTAAGATTCAGAAGTTATTCCACAGATTAAAGACATAAAACTAAATATTGGAGACCACAACAAACCTTTAGGTATTGCTTCATCTTCATTAATGACTTTGGTTGCAATTTCATCAAATAATTCATCTGTAACCTGTTCAAAAGACATAAGTCAACTGTTGCGGAAACATGTTTATAGACCAACCACTCTATTTCTATCAGGCCACCTACCTTAAGAAGGACTTCAGTCAAGATACGCTTTATCTCCATATTAATTTCTGTGGTTCTAGCTGCATCCATCTCATCCTACATGAAGCAAACCATGCATTTTAGTGATGGTACTGGATCACATTTAAGTACCAACAGAGCTTGAATTGTCAAAACAAAACAAGTGTTAAAAGTTCAAGGAACCTCATCCTCTTCTTCTTGTCCGTCAGAGGATTTGGAGGGGCTGAAGCTTTTTTCGTCACGCTGATCAGCTTTGGCAGGAGGTTTATAAAGTACATCATCATCCATAGATTCTCTCCCCTCAAAACTCCCTGAAGAAGGCCTTCCAAGATCTGCTTTTTTCTTCAACAATTCTTCCTTGAGCCAGTTAGGTACAGGAGCCTGGAAACCACATAATCAGCCAGAATTCATGGAAGGTACTAAACTCCTCCAGAAAAAAAATCATTCTTACCTTTTTCGGAGGAACAGACGATGCTGCATATGAGTCATCCATGAATGCTGTAACAGGGTGAAGAGGCGGCTTTGTCGCAAAAGCATATGGGGGTCCAACAGGCTGGAGGTTTGGTGGGGGAAACCTTCCATATGGAGGCATGATATGACCCGAAACAGGAGGTATAGCCATAGATGAGTCATTCTGCAAAGAGAGTAAACATCAACTTGCCTCTACCGAACTAATACAGAAACCAAAGATAACCACACAACGTAAGAGTACCTGAGGTATTGACTGCACCGATGAAGGGATTGGAGGATAGACTACCCCGGTTGTTGTATGGGACTGCCATGCATTGTGAACACTAGAATAATCAGAATTCTCTCTTGTAGAAAACTGTACAGGCTGATCACTAAGGTTACTAGGTGGAACAGCTGATTGATCTCCATATGCATATTGCATATGCTGCTCCGTGCGAACAGGTTCCCCACCATCAGGCAATGATATCTGCACCTCATGTTGTGTTGCATTTCCAGACTCTTCATTACCTGCAAACAAAGTAACAAGTTTAAGTTCTGAAGGTGTACATAGCTTAAAAGTTACCAATCTCTAGACCAACAAAAATGAGAAACAGAGGCACACTGATTATGATCTATGGATTTTTCTGGCGAGATTGTACCCATATATTACACATATGATTTATCATGAACTTATAGGACAGAAGAATTTTGGAGACACCTGCGGAATGTCAAGTTACAAAGAAACCCACATAGAGTGCTTGACTATGAGCTATGTTCTAAGTAAATGGTTACCTGCTACAGAAGAATAACTATAAGGTACCTCCTGCTGATGAATTGCAGAACTGGTAGTCAGGTTTTCTTGGGGCAATCCACCTCCAGGAAAACTCTCGTGTCCTGTTGCATAATTTGGATATCTATCCGGCTGTGTTGTGGGTGGAACTGGAAACTGCTGCTGATAGTTTACTCCTGGAACCGCCGCCTGTTGATGAACATCTTGATAGCCATGAGTAGGGTACTGCTGCTGGTAGACTTGTCCACTAGGTTGGTTCGGTACAGACTGCGATTGCTGATCCTTGTTCGCAGCTGCCCATTCTTTGGCTTTCACTGCCCAGTCCTCGACGTTGCTATTAGCTGTGATCAAACGAGACAATCAGAAACCAAATCCCTAATATTCACCTCAATAACATTGTAGATAGCGATGAGAGAAATCGAACCTTGAGGAGTGTGACCTTGTTGTTGTTGATACCCCCAACTTGGATTGCCCCATTCCTAATAATGCAAAATCAAATTCAAAATTAACAGTTCAATTCTTCGAAAAAGGGGAAATACACAGGAAAATCCAACGACGGAGAAACCTGATTAGCCTGAGGATATGGCGGAGGAATCGGCGCACCGGTAGATGGAGGAGGAAACTGACTGTTACCATTAGCGACGGCGCTGAAGGGCGGCTGGTGAGGAGGGTAAGCGGAAGAAGAGTAAGGTTGGCCTTGAGGATAATGCGGCGAAGGTGGTCCCCACTGCGGCGGAGGTGGAGGCGGTGGCGATGGAGAGTGAGGGTTATGAAATTGGTTGGAGTACCATGTAGGAGGACCACCGGGCTGCGTAGGAGGAGGCACCGGTGGTCTCGCCTGATGATGATAGTATTGGTGGTAAGGATCCGCCGGAGGCGGTGGTCCAGACGGCGGTCTCAGGTACTGAGGCGGTGGCTGATACGCGTCCATTAGCAACAAGGTTTTGAGTCTTTTGACTCTTGCGTTTGAAATCGCTGCTTGTTCTCGAATTTGATTAGACCGAAATTTATCTTGAAAAACTGCAGGTCGTCTTTTTTTAGAAATATATAGACGGCAGGTAGTTTACGTTAATTGTAAGGAAACGACACGATTTGTGTTAAATAAGAATTTTCTATGGTTACACCTTTACACAATTTCTCCATCATTACAGTATTCGTCTTTCGTCATGACCATTCAAAAACATAATCATGACTATTCATGAATAGTTTAGCATGTGCAGGATCAATCATACGACAGCATCGGCTTGTCTCTTCGACAATCTCGCGTATAAGCCATCTTTGCTCAAAAGTTCTTTGTGATTGCCCATCTGTTTTGTGTACAAATGTAACAGTCAAGATCACAGAGATCAATTTGGTTTCATAAAATTTATCAAAACCAGTAAGAGAGTGTGGCTTACCTCGACGACGCGTCCACTGTCCATAGCCACTATTCTATCCGCAGCCTGAATCGTAGAAAGTCTGTGAAGAAATAGAATGTTGTCACAAATCAATCATCTAAACATGTAAAAGATCTGATCTGTGCAAGATTACGATACCTGTGTGCTATCACTATGACACTTCTCTTTGTTGCTGAGTCGTTTCCGATAGAACGAAGTACGCCCTGGAAAAACAAAAGGCTTAAGAATTCTTGCATCCAAGTAATTTGTCTTTTTGGCATTGGAGAGGTTACCTTAACGTTGTGTTCGCTCTCTGCATCGAGTGCACTTGTGGCTTCATCGAGGATGAGAATTCTAGGATCTCTGAGGATGGCACGAGCAATGGCAATCCGTTGTTTCTGCCCTCCACTGAGTAGATCATCATCAACAATTGTGTTGTAACCATTGGGAAGTGCTGTGATAAATTCATGTGCATAGGCTTGCTTTGCGGCCGATATTATATCTTCTTGCGATATATTACGATCACATCCGTACTTGATGTTGGAACTGATGTCCGTGCGGAAGAGCTTTGGTTCCTGTTTCATTGTGATAGCTTTAGAAAGGGAAAGGGAAATTCATCAAAGTTTATTTGTTCTACAAAGACGAAATGCAAGGAGAACCTGCCCCACGTATCCGATTCTTTGCCTTAGCCACTTGACATCCAACTCTTTCAAAGGAACCCCATCTAGTAAAATCTGGAATTCAAAGAGCCAGCTATTAGGAAGGAAGGCTTAAAAGGGTTATTCTACAGTGAGGTTGAGTAACCTACAGTACCTGACCACTTGTTGGTTCGTACAGTTGCAGCAAAAGATTAACCAGTGTACTTTTGCCACTGCCACTTAGACCAACCTAAAAACAAATTTTCTCACATATCACTTCTGCTAAATTCTAAGGAAAACAGTGGCATTGTTGAACTACTTTGAGATACACTTACGATTGCTACCACTTCACCAGGATGCACGGACATGCTTACGTTTTGAACCACTGCCACCTGAGAGATTGACATATGATATGATTGTTATGACAAACTGAAATATGAGCCCCAATGCCCATACATTCCATACCATAAACATGACTACAAAACTCTTCATGATGTGTGTACAAGTATTCTAATATACTCAACAAAAATGTAAATTAGTGCAAATGCAAAACCATATAGTTGGCCATTAATTTGCAAGTACTAATGGGTTCAAGGACATGCACACAAAAGCAAAAAGTTGGAAGCAAAAGTTTATCAGAAAATAGATTTCACTCTAGTGCAGTCATACCTCCTCTCTTGAAGGGTAGCTGAACGACACATCTACAAACTCAATATGTCCTGTCAGTCTCTGCAGTCTCGTTCCTGCAGAACAGTTTATAAATAAAAATACATTACATGGTAGAGCGTAGCAATCACTGAAAGCCTCCAGGTAGGAAGTCCAAAGTGATTTACTCTAAGTGGTTCATCCTGGAAGGGGTTTGATTCTAAGAGTAATATTAACTGATAACAACATAACAACCTAACTCGCGCTCTCATCAATCTCATAAATGGTCAACATGTTTCTAAGATATATAGTGCTCTTAGCCAAATATTTGAACCTTGCCTTTTGATATGAATTGATCACTTGGCTTGAGATCCATCATTTGGAAGACCTTTTCACTCGCTCCAACTGATTGCATCAAAGATGATAAATTATCTCCCACCCACCATGTAGCATAGATTAACCACTCACTATACAACAGAAACTTTGTCAGCTGCTCTGCTGTTATTTGACCAGCTAAGATAGACAATCCTCCAATCAGGACAGCAATAATCTATAAAAGAAAAAAAATGATGGATCTTGTCACATTCTTAGCATGAGCATCACCATCTTTAAGAACCACAAAGTAATTGATCCATCCTAGAAACAGTCAAAAGAGAGAATTTAAGCAAACCAGGGGTCATATTTGAGAAACCTGAGTTGCATGGTATAGAGTGTTGAAGCTCCAGTTCCAAATACCGTATGCAGCACTCTGTCTCAAACTTATATCCGCTAATCTCTGAAGCCAGTGATTATACCTTTCCACCACAGAAGGTAAGTAAATCCATGTCAAAAAGTTACTTGGCTGGGAGCCTGGGACCAAACTTAGTCTTGAAACAGATAGGGCCAGTATCGTAAAATTTCACAAGAAAATATAAAGAAATAAAGAAACTGTCAAGGGTTTTCATGGAAACAGATTGCACCTTTTAAACTCTTGCTTCTCTGTCCCATATACGCGAACGGTTCTCATCAAAGAGTATGTCTCTTGAGCGACCTTGAAGATCACAGAGCAGCTATTAACGAAAGAATTCATTGCATATAAGACATGTTAAGATAAGCGTTTTTGAGCAATCTACTTCATTTGCAGAAGCTGTGATCTCCTGAATTAGCTTTGCTGTCTTCTTTTGGTACCTACAACATGACCAGATGGCTTAAGTATCAGTTTCAGCTGCCAGGTGTATAATCTATTATATCTTCACAGAATAGTATTCTTAATGAAAATGAGACAAGTAATGTAGAATCTCACATCCCATAAACGAACATAACCGCTGCCAAAATACAGCATATCACCAACGTGCACAGCCCAAGTGGCCAAGACAAAATTAGCAAATAAATCAATGCCCCTGTACCCTAAAAGAAAGAAGGTACATACATTCAGAAGTTAACCATGCACAAAACACACTTCAGGCGAGATGGAAATTATATTGTAGCAGAAGACCTGAAGAACATTGCGGAATATCATGTTCAGATCATTTCCGATGACCCTCGAGACTTGTTGACAGTCTGATCCAAGTCTGCTTGTTAAGTCACCAACAGTTTGAGAGTCGAAAAATGATATATCCTGATGCAAAATCCAGCCAAGTTAACGAAAGTAATTAAAAATAAAAAAGATTAAAGGTAAACATGAGCTACCAAGATTCAAAACAGCTAGGAACTTTCAGGACCTGGAAGAGAAGAGTGGAGTATAGTGTTTCCCTCATTCGTTTCACCTACAAAGTATGGTAAGACCCCGTCATATCATGTTCTGAGAAGGCAAGATTAGTGAGTAGATTTAAGCAACAACTAAAAAGGAGTAAATCCTGGGAAACTGACAAGTATCATGTTAGCAATCCCAAAGAAGCATCCTCGTATGCCACTGGAATTATGAGTTGAACAAAGAGTTAGCTGGTATTTTTTTAATAAAAGAGCAAGTTGGTTCGACAGGAAGAGTAACTCTCTAATTCAACTTGAAACCAAATAAAAACCAGAGACAAGTGTTTGACCATACAAGATCTTGACCTGCAAATGCCTGAAGTAACACATAACGTAACCAAGAGCTTGACATTTCGACGAAACACAGCGATATCACCACTTTGTGCCGAGAAGATCGAAGCAGTTAAAAAATGCGGAATAGTTATCTCTGAAAGCTGTAAACAAGTAGACAAAAATACGTATAAGAAAAGGAAGATTCTGATTCCTGATTAGAACTAACAATATCTAAGCAGAGATTCAGAATGGTTCTATAACATTATCTTCAATACATAACCAAGAAAGTGTTACCTATTACTCAAACTAGAACACTATACATACTCAAATCATTCACAACAACCAACATAAAGGAGAAGAACCACGCACCGCGGCTACTATAAGAGTGGAAAACGCAGCGAAGATAACCCAACGATCCTCAGCCACAAGTTCCCACATCCGAGTTAACGCACGCCAAACAGTCACAGGCTTCGCAATGAACCTACCATCAACCTCATCGGAGAAACTCCACCAGCTTCCACCTGGTAAAATCGTCCGGATGAAATCGATACATTGCCTAATTTTCTCAGGAACTGAAACGTTATCTCCTTCTCCTTCGTAATATTCCGCAGTTTCCGCTACTGCTCCATTCACCGTCGAGCAATTAATCGAAGGTAACCGGTAATTTCTACTTGAAGATTGAAGAGAAAACGACAATCTCGGGTTTCTAACAAATCGGAGATTCTTCCTTCTGATGTTGTCACTGGTAGAGATAACAGAACACCGGTGAAGGGAGACGCGGATTGGGCGGCTCGTACAGCCGAGTACTTGCAGAGCCATTTATGAACGGCGGACTAAAGATGAAGAAGCTTCCACGAGTCACGGCTTCAAGCTTATTCCTTGGTTCATATGAAATGCAGAAGAAGAAATGAAACGCGTCGTTTCGAAAATTGAAGAAGAAGACGTCACGTAAGGAAGAATCGTGTCAACCAAATCAAACCAAGGTGGAACCCACGGAGATCCACCACCGAAGGCATGAACCACATGGTAACAACAACACCGGCGCGTGAGAAAGGCGCGTGGAGTTCTATCATGTGGTTGTGGTACTACAACACCTCTCTTCCCCCTCTACGATGTCGTTTTCAAGGCTCCATAAATGTGGGGTAAACCGGTTTGATTTCGGTTTAATTTCTTTGGGTTGTCAGTTTTTCGGTAATATTCTAAATGGAGATAGGCCCATGTCACGTTACAGCCCAATAATAAATTTTGTAAACCCTAGAGGGCAAAATAGGAAACGTAAAAAATTCCACCGTCTTTATAAAGTCAGTGATATCTTAAGAAACCCTAGCCGCAAAGAGGGAGGAGAAGAGTGTAGCAGATCGGCGAAAATGACAACGAGATTCAAGAAGAACAGGAAGAAAAGAGGTCACGTCAGCGCCGGGCATGGTCGTATCGGTAAGCACCGTAAGCATCCCGGAGGTCGTGGTAACGCCGGAGGTATGCATCACCACAGGATCCTCTTCGACAAGTACCATCCAGGTTACTTTGGTAAAGTTGGTATGAGGTATTTCCACAAGCTGAGGAACAAGTTCTTCTGCCCAATCGTTAACCTCGACAAGCTTTGGTCACTCGTCCCTGAAGATGTGAAGGCGAAATCAACCAAGGATAATGTGCCGTTGATCGATGTGACGCAACATGGTTTCTTCAAGGTTTTGGGGAAAGGTCATTTGCCTGAGAACAAGCCGTTCGTTGTGAAGGCGAAGCTTATCTCGAAGACTGCTGAGAAGAAGATTAAGGAAGCTGGTGGTGCTGTTGTGCTCACTGCCTAAGTTAGGTGAATTTTTATTTGCTTGACTCTTTTTTTTGAATCTTCTCTGGAGTTTTGTTATCTTTTTGTTGTCTTTTGGATTTTGAGAAGAGAGATTTATCTCTTAAGTAGTTTATGAACCTCTTGTTGGATCCTTTGTTAATGGTGTTATTCCGAATTCAGATTTGGTATGACATTTTTGGTTTCGTAACTTTCGTAGACTTGGAGTTGCGTTTGCTGATTTAATTTTGTCTGGCATGATCATTCTTCCGGTTCCTTTAACTTGTGTTGTTGTTTCTTCCATACTTATGCATTGTTTTTGTTGAATTTTGAATTGGATGTCCGAAGTGGTCACTAAATATTTTTCACCATCATCTTTCCATTTATCAAGTTCGATTGATAATGGTGATGCAGGATTTGATTAGTTTTAGCTATGGTTGAATTTGCTAGAATGTGATTTTGCATAGTTATGTATTTACTTAAGATAAGTGGAAATTGATTTCAAAATTCACAATAGCACTTTGAAAATGAACATATATTTGGAAAGCAAAAAAAAAACAAAATAATTGTGTTGTGATGTTCTACCATATCAACTATGCATATTCATACTTGTTCACTAAACAATGAGACATTCGATTAGTTCCAAACCAAAAAAACAAAATCGAAACGAACTGTAATTTTTAGTATCCTATTGCAAACTCGGATTAGATTTAATTAATCTAGACGGAAGTCTGATTTAGCTAAGTCAGCCGGAGATCCTCTGGTTCAACTGTTCGATCCAATTCTCTCCTTCCTGGATGACACCGTTGTGTTTATGCAATCCATCAGAATAAGGCAAAGGGGTTTTCTATTAGAAATACGTAGAAAACAATCGAAGAAAGAGATCAAGTATATTTTGGCTAGACAAGAGTGGACACTTGTTGTTGTAGAAGTAGATCCAAGATATGAGCCTAAGAGCATGTATATGGGTGATACCCATATAGTATCATTGTGAATTTTTTAGTATTATTTATAATGTTTGTTTATTGTTTGAGATTTTTTATGATACTCCTACTAAATATGTTTACATTGGTGAGACCGATTTAAGTATCATAAAAAAAAAATCGCAAAATCAAAAATTAATATATTAAAACATAAGATTACAAAAGGTAATATTACAATAAAAAAAACATAGAATATACTTAAGCAAAGTAAAACATAAAATTCAAAATCGCCTTGAGAAACATTTGAAAATTAATTTAATCAATTAACTATCATGGTCCAACATAATGTTAACTTGCTTGATAGATTTATATCGTTTGTTGAATCTAAGACCAACATCATGTGAATTCTCCAACGTTCAAGTTTATGCGACCAATGGGAATCGATCTCTGGGTTTAATTAACAAGTAGAAACAAAACCATTGACTTGAGTAACAACTTGGTACTTCCAAATTTAAATTATTTGATGAGAATAATCACTAAAGTTTTATTCATCATGTTAATTAGCTAGAATATCACAACTTCAAATTTTCTTGAAAACCATATATATACACATCTCTCATTGTTATAATTAGATACTAAGGGGAGATGTCTCGAAGGCTTTTGCCTCCATTTGAACACATCCTCCACTCAACTCTTTGGTCTCATCAATCTTGTAAACATACTTGGTCGTTACCATGTCCTTTGCCAAGTCGCCTAAGTTGAGAAACATCTTCTGAGATTTTCTTAGTCGCTTCCACCTGCAAAGTGATGTTAATTAAACTTCATTAGAGACAGCAGGACTTATCACAAAGCAATGGTAAAGATTAACAAAGCAATAGCAAATAAAGATTAACAAAGTTTTAATCATGATTAAATACACACAATTCAATTCAGTTTCCATAAGTGACTGCAGTAAAAGCCAATATATACAAAAGGACTGAGAGATAGGCAGCCAAGTACATGTCTTTGATCTCCTTTGTTTTCACATCTGTTGCTCTATAAAACAGATGGTTACCATGTCCTTTGCCAAGTCTCCTAAGTTGAGAAACATATTCTGAGATTTTCTTAGTCGCTTCCACATGCAAAGTGATGTTAATTAAACTTCATTAGAGATAGCAAGACTTATCACAAAGCAATGATAAAGCAAAAAAGATACAAATAACTTATCGATAACTGACCCGAAATCTAAGCCAGTAGAGCTAAAGACCATTAATTCCCAGAACAAAGCAAACATCACCCAAAACAACTAATGGATCCAGGTTTTATCATGACAAAAACAAAGCAATCTTCACACATTTACTTAAAACCATTAAATCATCATAGCAGATAAAACATGATTTAGGAACAAAAAGAAAGCAGAACATGGTATTTACAAGAGCAGCAATCACGCAAAAACACTAATAAAACCATACTTGAACAGAGTACTAGAGATAAAATCTACAGATCCAAATAACAGATTCGTCACAAACCCATTACACCCATCAAAAACTAGACTCAGATTTCTCAAAAGCAAACAAATCCACAAGACGTGATACACATGTATTCAACACTGCAACAAACGAAAAATCCAGAGTCATGAGATACTTAAAAAGCCAATCTCATCCATATAGTTGAAGCAAAAATTGATTCAATCGACATATCTACAACACCTACTGTTCAAATCCATGAAAGAATCACCAAAAAATGTTTCGATCTAAGACGAAAAACTTACTGCGGAGGAGAGGAGAAATAGAAATGGAGAGGTGAAAGGATCGAAGAGATGAAGCCGGAAGAGAAGCGGAGGGAGCGACGGCAGGAGAAATCGAAATCGCTGTCTATGGTTTCTGGGATTTCACGGGAGAGAGGAGAGAAGAGAAAATGAATTTTTTTTTTTTTTTTTTTTTCAGTTTCGGCGAAACGAATTTGAGAACCAGTAATACCTTGCCACGTCATATGATACCCAGTATCAAAAGTATCACTCTAGTGATACGGATCAAGCCCAAAAACAGTGTTTGGTCCATTAAAAATTATTTTCTGGGCTTCTGATACCCTCTAAGTATCACCCATGGGTATGGTCTAAGACCAAGCACATAGGTGATATTACTTGAGTATCAGTAGCCCAATAATTATTTTTTAATAGACCAAAACATCTATTTGGGCTTGATACGTATCAGTGCAATGATATCTTTGATACTGAGTATCAGGTGATGTGGCAGCATAATATTGGTCACCGAAAACGCGTTTTGGCAGAAAAAAAAAAAAATTCATTTCTTTCTCTCTTCTCTTCTTACTGCGATTCGCGAGAAAACCTCTCCTTTCGTTCTCTTCTACAATCCGCCATGGGTAGGTATACGAGCTCTCTCTTTCTCTCTTCATCGCTCTATGTTTCTTCTTTCTCTCTCGATTTCTAGATTGTGCGCTTACTGCTTTTGTTAGTCGATCGGATCTTTTCTTCTATTTTGGTTGAATCTCTTCGGCTTACTTTGTACCTTCGATTATGAAGCTGATGGATTCTTTGCTCTGGTAGTTAATCTTAAATCGGAAGGAGGATATCAGCTTTTGGATTAGAAATCGGATTAGGGTTTAGCTGATTTGTTGGTTTTAATTGGCTTGTGTAGAAGTAACCTAGACATTTCTCTTGGGAATTCGTGTGAATTTAACTCTCAGGTAGTGAGGGATTGTGTATTTAGTAGAATTCTTTGCTAAATTTCTCATGTTGTTGGTATGTTTCGATTTGCTTCTCCCACGTGTGCTTTTCTGCTCCTTATGAATGATGATTTTGATTTTAGTGGTAAATTTTCGTTCTCTAGGAAAAATTAGTTCGTGGACTGACTTGGATTCTGAAGATGAGGTCTTGCGGATGGATTCAGAAACTACATTGAAGCAAGAAGTAGCTTGGGCTACTCATTTCTCCTTACATGTGCTTGTTAATCTATGGATTTAACTCACCTGGTTGTCTCTTTGTTTTCTTTGCTGCAAACTGATGTGTTCTTGCAGTTTTAGATTGCTATGGTTTGAGGAGAAATTCTCTTGTTAATGTCTGTTATATTAATATCTTGCAGGCATGTCTTCTCCCCACTCTAGTTTATCTAACTTTGCTGGTAAATCCACAATTGGAGGACAGATTCTTTATCTTAGCGGTCAGGTGGATGACAACTTTATGACATCTCTTGCCTCCGTCATATAGCTCGACTTGTTTTTGAGCTTTGAAATGGTACGTATACTGCCTTTAATTTCAACCTCACTTCTATTTTTTTTATTCATTGATCTTTTTGTTATTATGATGATCACAATTCCAAAGTCTACTTATTTGTTTATGCATTTTCTTCAAAATTCTCCTAAAATAAAAGTTGTTAGAAATCGTTGTTTCACGGCCATGGTTTTATGGCCCTCTCTAGTAACTATCATCTACAAATCCGATCTACTAACCAAAAAAACTCAAATGGTTTGCTCAAAACTTTGTACATCGTGTGAAAATGCAGGATCTTGGGTGATATCTTCATGGGACCATATCACACTGTGTTCGATTACGGGAAAGCAGGAGTTGGATTCGCCAAAACTGCTTAAACATGATCACTTCTTTAATACCCTTTTTTATATGATGTTTGTGAATGTGTATTTAGACAAAATCTTAAAATGGTTTGTAATAACTTAAACATAATGCTATCCTAGAATGGTATCATCTTAATACAGATTTTTATTTGGTTTCAGAGCTGTTTGTTTTGCTTTAACTTACAGAGTACTAAGATCATATTGAGTCCAGGGATTTAGTTCTCTCACGATCAATGTATTTCACTAATCACTTAGCCTTTGCCAAAGCCAGTGTCATTGACCTTGCTCGCAGGGTCAGGAAAATTCCCATGAAAAAACAAAAGAAGAATGTTGAGATTGCGAACAAGTTTAAATTGAGTAACAACAAGATGAATGTAAGCATTTTAATGCTGTTTTGAATTTTACATTGGATTGTAATATTACATTTTGTAATCTTATGTTTTTATAAATTTATTTTTCGATTTTGTAAAAAAAAAAAATTTATTTACTGATACCAATACCAGTCTCACCACTGGAAACAAATTTATTATCAGTATCATAAAAAGTCTCAAATAATAAATAAACATTAAAATTAATACTAAAAAATTGTTAATGATACTTGATAAGTATCAACTATGTGCATGCTCTAAGAAGTTCGGTGGTTGTAGCACTCGTTTCCACAGAAAAGCTACTGTTAAATTTGTTCACTTCTTCTCTCTATTTCAAAATCAAGTTCTTTGATTTACATCTTCCAACGATGATTTACAATTTTGGTGTCGTTGTTGGGTTAGTGAGAAGGTTTTTGACTTCAGAGTTTGTAGATTCATGTATCAGTCGGACCATTTGGATTTAAACATGAGTGAGAACTATACAAGTCGAAATCTGAAATAAGGTTGTCATTGAAAACATGGCCAAATTGGAATATAAGTTATGGACATGTAACGAGCCAATCACATTGACCTCACTGTAAGGAGTCAGCGAGTAGCTGGTAGAGGACGCCAGTTACTGGCTTGGTTTATGACATGACCACGAGAAGTTGCAGAAAGCTGTTGGTGTATCACTTCCTTGATGTGAGTAGCAGCTGATTCGCCACCACGTTCAGCGAGTTCTAAGTAAAGTACAGATTTCAGCATCGCCCCTTCCTGCATTATCCCATTACATTCATTAGTTCCATATCCAACTCTTCTCATAACCTAAATCGAATCAACTAATTGTGTAATATTTGTTTCTGGATATACATAAGTCGATAGATTTTATATTCCTCATGTTCTTTAATTCCTCATGTTCTCTAATATCTCTATATAATTGAGGTGCTTACAGAAAATAGAGCAAGGCCGTGTTCAAACTGAGCTTTAGAGTGGCCGTGATCAGCTGCTCGTTTCATCCATTTTCTTGCTAGCTTGCGATTTTGTGGTAAGCCTTCTCCAACCGAATAACAAAGCGAAATGTTATACATCGCTCGTACATACCCACCTTCTGCTGCCTTTAGGTACCATTTACTCTGTCAAAAAGAGAAAGAAAAAAAATCCAATCATTATACTGATACAAACTTTACTGATTTTAGAAAGATGAAAAAGACAGAAACTGGACATTCTCCACAAATGAACTAAGCACATGTCCAAACATAGCATTATCAGCTTCCACAATGAACTAAGCACATGTCCCAAAGATAGTATTATCAGCTTCCACAATGAACAAAGAACAAACATGTCCAAACATAGCATTATCAGTTTCCACAAATGAACTAAGCACATGTCTAAACATAGCATTATCAGTTTCCACCAAGAGTGCAGCCATTAATATAAAGGACTACATACAACTTTCAATCTAGCTTACGGTATCACCGCATGAAAACAATACAAATTCTGTAGAATCTCAACTAAAAGCATAGAGAATGAATCACATACAGCTTCTAGCAGATTGGTTTTCACGACCCGGCCTTGATGTAAACAAAGAGCTAACTGATACTGTGCTCGAACGTAACCATTCTCTGCAGATTGTTTCAGCCATTTCATCGCCTCCTTCGGATTTGAAGGTTGAACTGCAGATAGAAGCAAGCAATTGCTCAGAAAATGCTTCACCAATCCATTAGCTCAATCCAAATTCTATATACCACAATCAAGTAATTATCAATCCTGAACAAACTCAAATTGCAAATCAAATCCATCACACCTATGAGAGAACTTAGGTTTTACCTTGAAGATAACAAATCCCTAAATTACATTGACCAACAGCATCACCAAGCTCTGCAGCTCTCCGATACAGACTCATCGCTTTCTCCTTCTCTCCCGTTTCCCAATACACAAGCCCAGCGTCGACCATAGCGAGCGTGGATCCACGCGCAGCTCCTTTCAGAAACGAATCAAGAGCCTTATCGAGATTCGCTCGCACACCTCCTCTTCCGTGTTTGAACTTTTTCCCCCACCGAAGCAACAACATCGACTCTCTCAACGGCTTTAGCGCGTCTCTCCACGATTTACATACCGACGACGCCGCTTGAAGATTCGGATGACTAAACGGTGCAGCGATCTTCATCAGTATATCAAACGGAAGCATCGAGAAATCTCCACCGATCTCATTCGATAGAGGAGATGAAGAAGAAGAAGACCTTGAGCTTGTGCTTGACTTCGCCGTTGCTCTGTTGATTGAAGAAAATCTAGTGCGTTTTTCCTTTTCTTGAGGTTTCAAAAACGATAAGGAGGTGAATCTAGATCCTTCAGATCTACAAGGCCAGGTTCTCTGCTTCATCTTCTCCGGCGAAAAAGACCACCGTCGGTTTCAAAGAGAGGTAAGTAAAACGATTCGCTTTTTTTTTATTATCTTTTTCTTTTCTTTTTCCGCGTATGTGAATGTGCCGAGTAATTTTAATTTTTTTTTTTTTTCTTTTTCTTTTTAGTTATGTGGTTACGAAGATCGTACGGCTATCTGATGAGAGACAGTTAATCTATGATCTTACAGTGTGACATGTGGAATACTTAAACCGCCAAGAAATTTTGTATAGGATGAGTGGACCGGACCACCAGACCAAGCTATAATTACGAAGCATTAATATTTGTTTTTGGGCTGGGCCTGCAATCTCTTGTGTTCCTTATATAAAAATAAAGGTTTTAAAACCCAACTAGTAAAAAAACCTTGAGAGTCGCGCGATCTCTTTGATGACGCTATTTTAAAGAAGCGAGCGATTCATTAATTTAAAAAAGAAGACACAAGCGACAGTCGCTGATTCATACTAAAGCTTTATTATGAATCAGCGTTAACAGATTTGCATTAACAAATTAATTTTAACTATAGTGTCCAATCTTCACGATATTGTAGACGGAGTAAGATTTGCATTAACAGATTTTAAGTGCAGAGTTTTTCACTAAATATAAATTGAAGGCTTTTTTTTTTTTTTTTTTTTTTTTTTTTAAAGGCTTTTTTTTACAAAAATTGAAGGCTTTTTTTACAATTCATCTTTAGTTGAAAGATTTTATTACTACAACCCCAAATAAAAACAGCACTTATTTTACTAGTTTGAAATGTTATATAAACAAAACTACGTCTGCAATCTTTATTAAACTAATATATTAACATTTTTGAAATGTTGCTTATAGTTTCACCAAAAAAAAAAAATGTTTAAGAATGAATTATTTGGTGCTATACGATCCATGAAAACTAAACTTAAATAAGTTGCTTAATTAAGATAAATTATACATAGTGCACAGTGATTCATCCAAACAGCGGAGAATACAAATATTTATAGGACAGTGTCAAATTTGGTATGAATAGTAGCACAACTAGTAACAAACTGGTATGATTAACTAATTTGCACAAAAAGTTGTTGCTACAAAAGAACAAGAACATGTGAATGTGATTGTCTAAAAGTTTCCTACTGCCTAAAATTGAGAATTTGACTCTTTTACTTGCATGATAATATTATTACTCTGGTAAACATGACTTGAAAAACTCCAAAAAAAAAAAAAGTCAAGAACAGATATAATCTCCTATGAAATAAGAGAATGAAACTGTTGACGTTGTAATGCATAGGATTCTATTCAGCTGGAGATGGCCTATTCAATTATCTCACCATTACCAAACATGATATTGACCTCTATTTAGACTCAGTGGACAGTGGTTTTGTTGTGTGGCCGTGTGGGTCAACTTTTCCAAGTTTGATTTTTCCACAAATATTAAAACTTTTAACCAAAGCTAATTATTTGGTGACAATCAAAGATTTGTTACATTGAGAAAAAAAATTAGAATCCGATTCAAACGTTTCTATCCAGTGGCTGACCGAAGTAGGAAGAATAAAATGACTCAAGCTAAGATTTGTCCATTCACTAATTATGAACTTTATTCTTGACTTTTGTTAGCTAATTTTATAATATTGTTTGGCCCTGAATCATATATTTGACAAGAACATTCATAGTCAGATTTAAGCTTAAAATAAGTCTTTACTTTCATGCAATTATAACCTATATCAAATTTGATCCACTGATTAATCTAAATCTGGTTTTGCCAACACCTTGTACAAATAAATAAAGAAATGTATATCACTTCTTTTTTTTGTCAGCATCTATAAATTAGAGTTCAAAAAAATTATTTCTGGAAAATGTTGTTTACATATGTGATATTATGCGGTTCAGTACAAACTTTTCGTGCCAAATTATTTGCTTTAACATTTGCACAGCGAGAAATTGCAAATAAAGAGAAGCTTGAAATGTATATCACTTCTTAAATTCCTACGTAACTAAGATAGTTAAAATAAAATAAAATTTAAAAAAAAAAAAACCTCCAAATTATTTAGTAATTAACTAACTAGAAAGCTAAATATGTACATCAAGAATCATCTGCAACGTTTTGTGTTCTTGTTTAGAAAGTATCCAAATCTTGAACGTTAAAGGAGATAATCCTTTGCCCGGAAGCTTTTTTGCGGTGTTTGTCGATCTTTTTCCGGTAGATGCGTGGCCCCGGTGCCGGAGGACACTCAAGTTGCGGCGGAATCCTAAATTCCTCCCCCTTTGGAGTTGTGAATCCATTTTCTTCCGCTTTTTCTTTTTCTATTTCTTTTTCTTCTTTCTCTGGCTTTGAACTCACCGGAGCTTTCACCGGGATCGTCACTTTAAGCGAATTTCCCGGAATATCCATGACTTTGATCCAAGAAAATTCAACAAGGAGACCTTAACGAAGACAAAAAAAAGTGTTGTTGAATATTCAACTGATTATATATATATGAAAATTGTAAATTTTCTCTTAAAGAGGAAAAAAGGAAGAAACTTTTAGGCGGGAAAGGTTGTTTTTCTTGTGTTTTCTCGGTAAATAAGTAAAAATTCCCAAAACATTTTTCTCGGAAAAGGTAAAAGAAGAGAAGAGATTTGAGTTTAGGGCTTTCTCTATACTCTGTGATTGAAGCTGAGAAAATTCCTAGAGGAGGCAAAGAAGAATGAGGTTTGGAATATTTGATTAGTTTTTATACTCGCCTACAACTTTATTTAATCAAAGATTGGATAAGTAAATATTGACGGCGGAGAAAGTATATATAACTATTATATATTAATGGAAGGAATTTTATTGGACTAAAAATATTATCGTATAAAAAAATGTTGTCCACCTAATAATTAAATAAATCATTTACTGTATAATTGAACATTAGAGTTTGTGTGATTAAATAAATCATTTACTGTATAATTGAACATTAGAGTTTGTGTGTGGCTTTGTAGCAATAGATACAAAGGTTTTTTAAGAGCATAAGAAGAGTTTTACACAGTAGGACCAGTACTTATAGCTTTTAAAGAGTGTGAATAGACAATAATAATGTCGTGAAAGAAGAAGAAGAAGTGATCTCTGACTCTTGAGTCCTTTTCTTTTCACATTCTGGAGTAACCAAAGTTATTATCACCGTACTGAGACATGAACTCATCATTGAACTTTTTGAAACTGTCCATAATCTCTGGCATTTCTTCTTCTGCAGGCAGAATTGTTGTCCTTAAATGAAACACCCTGAAACAAACAGACAAAATGAGCTTGCTGCAAGAACATGATACTGTTGTGTTTAGGCCACAGTGGTGTATTTTACCCTTCTTTTTGTCCAAATCCAGAGCCTGGAACTGTGGAGATTCCTGTGGCTTCTAAGAGCTTAAGGCAGTAGAAAACGTCAGGGACTTTTCCGGCTTGTTTTGCTGCTTCGATTGCTTTCGACGGTAACTTTATTTGAGGGAATGAATACATAGCCCCTTCTGTGAAATTACAGACGACGTTTTTGCAGCTGTTGAATCCATCAGTCATCATCCTTGCTCTTCTTCTCAGTGATTCTAGTATTCGCTTGCTGTTAATAAAGTTCCAGTGAAGTTATGAGATCTTGATCCTTCATCAAAACGTGTTTATTTAGAGTAGGATGTATAACTATATATACCTTTCACAAACGAATTGGTCATGAGATATGTCTCCAGGCTTTGGTGGGCTAACCATTAAACCCATCTGCACAAAACAAAATTCATCGGGTTCAGCGGTGAAATCATTCTGTAACCAACAGTTGCTAAGTAACTAAGAAGGGCTTGCTTACAAATATCTGTGCAGAGACGTTGGGACTGAGAGCTATAGAGGCAACCTTGTATATCTCCTCAACAGTCTGCATTACCAGAAATTAAAAAAAACTCTTGCAATAACCACAATCACGGGTGAAAAAGAGACGGTCAGGTACAAACCCTGGGAGGGATATTTGTCATCTCAAAGTAACCGCCTCGTTGCCCACACTCGCCCCAGTATCCTTTGGAAACGGTGTGGAAAGATATAAGCTGAACTTCCTTGCTGATCGGTGCTCCCATATCCATCAAAACCTTAGCAATTCAATCATGCAGAAATTCCAGAAACCGAAGACCACAAAGCAAATGCTAATCTAATTGATGCTAAGGAGTTAAAGATACCAATGAAAGACAAAATTATTACCTTTTTGGAACTGATAAAGGGACGCTCATCTTGGTATATGTTTTGCTGATACACTTCATCTCCAAGAAGAACCAATCTCTCATCACAACAGAACCGTAATATCTCTTTTAAGTTAGCTTCGCTAAGACACTGGCCAGTTGGGTTCCCAGGGTTAATGATCACCATTGCCCTTACCTGCATTAACCATATGTGAAAATATAAATTAGACCGAGAGGTAAGATGTCATAAAAAAGACTCCGCATCAACAGTTTCGAGAAAAAGAGTGGAAGAATATTAACTGTTATTCCTTGAGAGCGAGCCTGAGCAACAGATTGGCGAAGGTTGTTAACATCAAGTCCCCAGTTTTCAGACTCTTCAAGATAGTAAGGAACAAGAGTACCACCTAACAGAGATATAGTAGCCGAGTAGAGAGGATACTGCGGTACTGGAACCAGAATCTGCCAACCAGGAAAACTTGTGACCCAGATGCTACTATAAACCAAGCCTAGACCTATACCATTTGCCACAAATCTGAATTTTAACAAATCAACCAAATCAGATATACAGTTGATGTGGGATCATTACATACAGCCAATTTGCTATGCCTAATTATCTCCTCTAGAGTAAATCTTCAAAAGGGTCGGATTTTACGCCATATTGAAACGAGCAAATTCGTGATAAAAACCAAACAAAATGGGTCATGTATCCATGTACAAAAAACTTTAGATAAAGGAACAAGCGAGATAAGGTTCATTACTCCGTCTTTCTGACTGCGTATGACACAATTCAAGATTTGCATCACACCTTTGCTAGCTCCATCAGTTAGAAATATAAGTTCTGGGTCGCTGTAATTTGAAGATAAGAAGCAAAAGGCCTCAGAGTAGTTTTTCTTAACAACATATTGCACAAATAATCAACATGAACCAATCACCTTGGATATCCATCACGCCGTTCAATGAACTCAGCGACTTCTTTCCGAACTCCCGGGAGGCCTCTTGAGTCACTGTAAGCACCTGATTAAAAGTAAAACAAAACATTTGCTTTTTATTTGTACAAACCTAAGCCAATATAAACCTTGATCTGAGTTCTCTAGTAATAAGACATACCAAGACCACCAGAAGTCAAAGATAGATAATGCTTAGCTCTTGCAATAGCATCTGCTGGGAATATCATACCAATATTTGGGTCATCTAGCAGAAATGGTGCTTGGCATAAAGCAACCACCTGCATTGGTTTTCAATCTGTTTAGGCTTAAATCTATATATCGAACAAGATTCATGGACAAAAAACATGAGAATTGCATATTACATACCTGACGAGGAAAAGTCAGAGGCTTCTGTCCTAAAGCATGAGGGTTTCCAACATTTGTGAAAATAATCTGTAAATGTTACATTCAAACAAGTCAGAAAACCAAAGACACTTCCCATATCTCAACAGCTAATGAAGCTCATAACTGCAAATGCATAACAAAGTTGTTACCTTTTTGCCTTCTTTCTGAAGCTCAGAAGCACGGAGATAGAGTTCACCTCTGACTGCATACTGACAATTCTTGACGTTTTCATTCAGGGACTCGTAGTCTAATGCCTTGAGAGACATTTCCAGGATTTACTTTTCAAGCCAAAGCAAAATAATTCCTCACTTCCTCTCTATCTACAACCAAAATAAGCAGATGTATAATACGTTGATCACGAGAAGAGGCATAATCGAGCTTATAACAAGACTAAACAAACAGCTAAGAGGAGCTAAACCCTTTCTTGCTGGGTTTGAAGAGGTATATCACTACAAGAGATTTCACATAACACAACGAGATTTGACTTGTTGAGTCCATCATAAAGATTGGTTTTTTCAAATCTATAACTACAGAACTTACCATCAACTTATTCCCATAAAACAACAGTGAAAGGAGCTCAAAGAATCATCACCAACACACTAGATTCGAGTATAAACCCACGTAGACAGTGAGCCCCACAAGGCCACAACTCAAAATCTACAGAACAACCTTAAAGCTACATAAAAGAAAAGGCGACGCCTTTTGTAATGGGTTTTCGAAATCGGACAAAACTACAAGAAGTTTTACCAACCTTGATCAGTTTCGTTACCTCCAAAGTCACATTCCAGAGCACGGCAAGAAAGAAAGACTTGTGGGCGATTATTGCATTAGTGTTTTATATGATATAAAATAAATCTTTGGCAGATTACAATTGTGTGTCTGACGTGAGTTTGGACACTCGTCTGATCAGAAGATCATGTGGCATAAGGAGATCGCAAAAAGACGAAGCAGCAGAGCCACTTGAATCGGCAAAAAGAGATTTTATCAATAACAAAAAGTCATTTATAGCTTTTTGCTACCAACCGGATTAAAAATGAGTGAAAGAATTTGAATGGACTGTTTTTTCTTTTTCTGATTTTCTGCAACACAACCTATAAAAATCGTCCCACGTCCCTTGCCTTTGGCTTGAATGTCATTCTCCAGGCGTTTGTTTCTTTCCCATTGTCCTCAACCTCAAGACAAAGAGTGGCTCGAGTGTCTCCATCGGAATCTTTGACGGGACTAATTTAAGTAACATGAATGTGCAAACTGATTAAGAAGCATAATCAGTTAATCACAAATCATACACATTAGAAATAAACCAACTTTTGTTCTCCAGACTCTGTTCACTAGACATCCACATTGTGTTGTGTGTCCCACTCTGTAAAAAACTCTCTTTAGTTTTCAACAACAACAATACACAAAACGAAAACCAAAAAGAATGAGAAAGGTGTATGCTTTTCTCTATTCCGTGTATGATTTGTCAGACTCTTTGAATTACTTCATCTTCCGTGGGATCTCTATGTAATTCAAAAGTTTCTTTAGAGCCTTCCCACTGTCAATAGCTTCTTTTGCTCTCTCCATTGCCACAGCTACATCCTCTGCACCCTCACTTCCCAACAAATGATCCACAATCCCAGCATTTAGGACGATTCTACCATAAGCCGCGCCTTTCTCACCACGAAGCTGTATTTTCTTTGACACCTGTTCATTCAACAAAAGTATGACTTACGTTATCTCTTTTTTCTTTTTCTAGCATTGTCCCCAACATTGTGAAACGAATGGCTTTTGGAAGTTTTATCGAACGATCAGTTCGTGGAGTCTTGGTTGGTTCAAACCCTTGCATATCTACCTCAAGATTCAAACTCTGACGCGAGACCCCAACGATTCCAGAATTCACTTTAGCCATAAGTTTTAGGAGCATAAACTATATTGATGTACAACAAGACATATACTAGTACCAAGGCATAAGGCAAATTAGTTTCATATCAGATAGCACAAGGACCACTCTAATCTGTATTAGATATCATAGCATTCTAGAAAGGCTAATCCACCAAATGGTACATCAAGACTCCATACCGACCAAATACGAGATTAGCTGATAGTTTATTAGCCTATGAACTCCTACCACCTACAAGCCGGTTTACTACAACACTAATTTGCACCTGAGAAATTAAATGTCAACCCTGTCTGGACTCGGTTCATATATTCAAGCAGTAGATTCTAGTTTGAAACCAGGAAAGTTATTTTAGCTATTCTAACAGTCAGCTTCTAGAGCCGTGTCTGAACTCAATGAACGAAACCCAGAGCAGTAGTTAACTGGAAACCCTTTTGATGCACTTGCAGCTCGCACCCGTGTTGTCCCTGCATTACCAAAAGAAGCCTTATAAATTCCCTTACAATCCGACCTGAAATTTTCTCTATTAACAGTCCATGAAATGTCTGCATACAGGCAAGCACCTTCTTATAGATGAAACCAAACTTCATGGTAATAAAACACTCTAGGAAAAAATTGAATAAAGGCTGTTGGTATTATACAACACAAGCATTAAAATGCTGTCTCCTGGCTCGAATTTCATCTCCTTCCATATGATTCTGACCCAACCGAAACAAAATTTAGCATCAGAAACATTTCTCAATCCATACTTTGGGCAAGAAAACTTCTTCTACATAACCTAGGTTGAAACACTTTGATTTGAAAATGTGACTAATCTGACATCCAATGAGTAACTTCATTTGTTGAGGATCTAATAGTACTCGTCAGGGTTTTCTTTGCTCTGAATGAGAGGGACACCGTCTTCTCTCCATTTAATTCGCTCTTCCCAAATCGCAGCCACCACTTCGACATAGAGTTTGTGTTCCTGAGCCCAAAATGGATAAAAGAAAAGAAGCAAATGAAATCTTCTGAACAGTGAAATGTAATGTTCAAAAGTATCTTTTAGTAGTACCTCATGAAGAACCCTTTTGGCCAACTCCTCTGGTGTGTCATTAGCAATCACTCGGACTGCACTTTGAGCAAGTATCTGCCCTGTGTCGTACTCCTCATCGACAAAGTGAATTGACGGACCTGAATATCTATAGAAAGAAAAACCGTTAAATGTTTTCTTGCGCAAAAGAAAATGTAAAAAAAAAACCTACACATCCGTAACATTGTATTACCTAGCTCCCGATTCTAGAACAGCTTTATGCACTCTTATACCATAAAGACCTTTGCCTCCGAAAGCCGGAAGAAGAGCAGGATGAATATTTAGAATCCGTTTAGGAAATGCTTGGACCAGCTCGAATGGTATAAGTTTCAAATATCCAGCTAAAAGAACAAAGTCTACACCATATTTTCTGTTCATCAAGCAAATGTTAAGAGACATATAGTGAACTTTCAAGTTTCAACAAAGCGGTAACACATTCACGATGCTAACCTAAGTACATCTACAAGCTCTGAAGGAGAGAGTCCATGGGATGGTTCTCGTTTCGCTTTGGGGAATACTAAAACAGGAATGCCGTTACTTCTTGCATACTCAGCACCTCCACAATCTAAATTGATGAACTTAAGCAAGTAAGTATTGCAGGGATTTCAAAAATACCAAAATCGAAACTCCGAATCAATTCACATTACAGAAAACAGAGCTATTCAAATTCCACTATTTAATCATCAGTTCTTTTCTTATTCATTGACTTTAGGGAGCAGCACACACATAAACTAGAATTGGAACTTAGAAGACCAAAATTCAATAACTTGAAGAAAGGTGATACCTTTTTTGTTAGTGACCAACAAAACAACATCCCCATTAACAGAACCATCACTGCATCCCTCATGAATCTTCCTGAAATTCGAACCACCTCCCGACACAAACACAGCAAGCTTCTTCCTTCTTGGTTCGTCTCTCGAACCATCATCGACCTCCGCTACTATCTTTGGAGCAAACGAAACAGCTTTTACAAACGGTCGCGGTCCGATCCTCACCGCAAATCTGTCTACGGAACTTCGGAAAGACAAGGAGAGAACATTCCGGGGAGGTGTGAACGGAGCAATCGAGGTTTCACGGTTCTTCAACGGTGAATTCACCGGGAAGTTGAATTGACTCGAGAACAAAACCCGTGATTCCATTCCGACGGTCTAATCGGAGGTTTTTGTCGGAATAAGTGACTGCGAAAAGAGAAGAAGCACAACGAACAAGACGAAGAAGAAGTCGCAACTCGCAAGAAGAGAGTCAACGACAGAGAAAGAAGGAAAGTCAACAAGAAGGAAAGAAGTTGGGCTTGAAGTGTTTTGGTAATAAGAGGGTTAATGGGCTGATGATTTAGTTAAGGCCCAAATGAAGAATTGTTGTTTAGATTACACGTCCTTTGGCTTCAACGTCATTCATCGGACACAGACTCGTTTGTTTGTTTCCCATTGTCCTCAAGACAAAGAGTGTCTCCAACGGAATTAAGTAACATGAATGTACAAGATGATTAAGTGCATAATTATAAACACATTAGAAACAAACCAACTTTTGTTCTCCAGACTCTGTACACATGATTCACTAGACATCCATAGAAAGCCCCACAAGCATTGTGTTGTGTGTCCCACTCTGTAAAAAACACACTCAAGTTTCAACAACAAATACACAAAACGTAAAATAAAAAGAATCAGAAAAGTGTATGCTTCTTCTCTCTATCCCGTGTATGTTTTGTCAGACTCTCCAGATTGTTGGAACTATTTCATCTTCCGTGAGATCTCTATGTAATTCAAAAGTTTCTTTAAAGCCTTCCCACTGTCAATAGCTTCCTTTGCTCTCTCCATTGCCACAGCTACATCCTCTGCACCTTCACCTCCCAACAAATGATCCACTATCCCAGCATTTAGGACAATTCTATCATAAGCCGCGCCTTTCTCACCACGAAGCGCTGCCAAACCCAGCTCTATGTTCTTTGACACCTATCAATTCAACAAAAGTACGACTAAAGTTTTCCCTTTCATTTCTACATTGTCCCCAACAGTGTGAAAGAAACGTGTTTTTGGAGGTTTTACCGAACGATCAGTTCGTGGAGTTTCGGTTGGTTCAAAGCCATATTCTCTTGCATCCACCTCAAGATTGAAACTCTGACGCGAGACCCCTACAATTCCAGAAGTTTCTTTAGCCATAAGTTTTAGGAGCTGAAACTATATTGATATACCACAAGACAAATACTAGCGCCAAGGCATAAGGCAGACATATCAATTAGCATAAGGTCAAATCTAAACAGATGACAGGCTCTATATCAGCAATCCACCAAAAAACTTCAATCACCAAGATGATACATCAAGACTCCATGCCAGTCAAATACGAAATTAGCTGATAGTTTATTAGCCTATGGACTCCTACCGCCTACAAGCCAGTTTAATACAACACAAATTTGCGCATGTGAAATTATTTTCAATCCTGTTGCGACTGTATTCATATATTCAAGCAGTAGATTCTAGTTTGAAAACTAGGATAGTTATTTTACCGTCAGCTTCAAGAGCCGTGTCCGAACTCAATGAACGAAATCCAGAACAGTAGTTAACTGGAAACCCTTTTGATGCACTTGCTGCTCGCACCCGTGTTGTCATTGAGAGGGCCCCCTCCTCGCCCTGTATTACCAAGAGAAATCTTATAAATTCCCTAAAAATCATACCTGAACATTTCACTGATAAAAGTTCAAAATGCAAATGAAAACTAATGGAACGAGTTTCTAACATTTCAGGTTCTAATTCTAAGTTCCAAAAGCATAGTAGCTCATAGTGAATCAGTAAATATTTGATGGCAAAAGAGAGAGTCAACCTTAACCACCAAACCAGAATGGACACCTCTTCGTCTCATAAGCATTAAGAGAGGCTCTTCGTAGCCTTCATGGTAAAACCCAGCCACAATAGCTTCCTTCCCTGTCGCCTGCAACAAAAAACGGTCCATAAAATGCTGCATACAGACACTATCCTCAAGCCCTGTGATGTTTTTTCTCCTAAATATTGTTTTAGTCATCATGAGCTATATAAGGTGGTGACATGTGATAGATCCCTTACCCTCACAAATTGCTGAACTTTCTCCGTTGTTGCCAGAGGAGGGCGTTTCTTTATATGCTCCCTCATTCCAATTAGCGAATATCTGCAAATACCAAAGAAAAGTATCAATACGCCCAGATTTTCTTTACAAGTTACAACCAAATTGTTTATGGAAGAACAGGAAAAGGGTGTACGCATTAGCATATCCCAAGATTTAAAAAAAAAAACAAAGATATGACTCAAACAAATGTTTCTCAGATTTCTTACAAAGACGGCCGAGCTTCCCGTAGACTGAGATATGCAAATCCAGCCTTCTCGTCCTGGAAGAATCAAAGAAGATTTTATAGAGCGCCTAAGTCATAGATATAGGCTGGCAGGAGAAAGATAGAGAAAACCTGTAGGACATTAGTTTAAATTATTGTAGGCACCTCGATGAGTTCTTTTGCCTGCTGAACAGACAAGTGTGTATTTGCTCCCATAAACTTCAGCATTTGTTCCTCAGTCACACCCCCCTAAAGAATTGAAAAGTTTTTTTAAAAAAATCTAAAACTATTCCTCGAAAGCATCAATATCTCTGCAAACTAGAAGAATCGAAAACGAATCTTGTTAGTAATACCTTTGGAGGCATCCATTCCACGCCATGGAGCAATGAAGATTCACCATAGCAGGATCTAACTGTAGCCACAAACAGTGTGCTTCGAAAGAATCGAGTATTCCCATCATAAGGCTCGCCATAATGGGTTAAGGATTTGACATCAGCAATTGGAGGAGCCCCTGAAATTAGTTGAAGGTGCTTTAACTCAAGTCAGAACTTTGTATCCTTGCCTGGAATTACTATTATATTCTTTAAAATTCACTCTATATTAGAAGAGTTTTTTACCATGTTCGTCATCGAATGCAAGGCAGTAAGCTTTAAGCTCGCGGTCTGTTTCTCTGTTCATACGTTGCCCAATCAAAAACGCCGAAAGCAATGACTCGCTTACTCCCAAGTTCAAACTACCTTCCATTGCAAGGGGAAGAACATCTCTTAAAACACCCTTAACCTCCTCATAACCCAGGTGACCTCCAGCCAAAATCTCTCTTAGCGCGCCAACCAATCTCATCTCACGAGTCTCATTGCCAACAAAAGTTGGTCCAACAGAATTTCCCGTACCCAAAAGAGAGCCTTCAGGATCAGCAATAAAGAGCACATCAGGAGGTAATGCCCGAACCAGGAGTGGCCAAAACACATCCATCGCCCTCTTTTCACCTTCGCTCCATTGAGTTTCCTCTGGAAATGCATTTGCACGGATTGTCATTCCCGCAAAAAATGCCCCAAGTTGCGCCTTTGAAACCGGTTCCTCATCTTTTAGCTCCCCTCTAGCTGCATCCCAGGTAAGACTGACTAATGAGGCTAAGAACTCTAGCGAACCAATCCATAAACAAAGTCGCTAACCAAACACCAAGAAGCCTATGCAAATAATTACTCACTTGGGTTTTTCACATTCTATCCCAAATTCTAACAAAGCCGCAAAATTGATTAAAAAGCTTGAAACTTTTAAATGCTTAGGCTTTGAGCTAAAGAAGGCAACTTGTAACCTATCAAAATCAGTTCTTTCGTTCACTACACAAACATGAATTCACCAATCGATAAAGTCCAAATTTTGAAAATGAAAATGCTTACCTGATCTTAATATAGTATCAAACACCTTAAAAGCTTGTTCCTCACTAAGAGGCCTAGTCTGAGTCGGCCCTGTACAAACCCTAGCTTGAGCATCAAGAACCGTAAGGTTTGGCTTCGGAATCTCCGATCCCCGATAAGTAGAAGATAAAGCCGGATTCTTAACATCAGATTCCTTAAGCCCTAACTGCTCCATCATTGCAGAGTCCAACACTGCCTTTATACTCAACCCACCAGTGAGCTTCCGCTGCAGCGTACGGCCGCCGCAATCGGTTAAAGCAAACCGGAGACATGAAGAAGAACTCAGTCCGTTGAAATGGAGAGACCTCTTGATCTGTGAGGAAGAGATCGACGAGAGACAAAAGAAAGATTCAGGATTTAGAATCGCTTTCATCAGATTATTTTTCTCGCCTGAATCGCTTCTACTGTTAACTCCGTCTATAAAAATCGAGTTTATCTCAGATGATGATGACGAGGATGATAAATTCTTTTCATTACAAAAATTTCAATTACACCACTTTGTAATAAAATAAGCTTTTTATCTAATTTATTTTTTAGAGTTCTTGATAATAAATTTGTTAATATGATCTAAAAAATTAATAACGGACCCATATAGAGGATCAAGTCTTTATGTGTGTAGAAGAAGCCTTTTAAGAGTTAATTGGGCCTAGGAGAACTTTATCTTTACTTGTAGAACGGAATCAAAATGTACTTAAGCTTTTAAAGGTGATGTAATAACGCCTGATCTTGTAGCTCATTTGGTTAGAGGGCTAAGCTCCACCACATGAGTTCAAGTCATGGCAGAGGAGAAGATGAGAAGAAGAAGATCCTGAAAGGACGACAACAAATCAAATATATATATATATATACTTCGTCTACATTTGAGGTATTCCAAAATACCTTTTTTTTTTCTGCCATAAGTCAACCTCTTGTTGTTTTCTAAAGTTTTCAATTTTGAAATCTGAATAAAATGTACAACGGTAACAAAATTCAGTTATTGAAATTATATCATTTTTTGTATGATGAAATTATATCATTTGGTTTGTGATTAATATTATGTACGAGTTTTTAAACCAAAATGAACTAAACTCAAGGTAAGAGAAGGAAAAAATTAATCAAGTAATTTTTTAAGTGTTAACTACACGAATTCGTCACATCACACATCAAATTAGAAAAATGAATCCATGACGGTACCAATAATGACTAATGCTCTCATATGCACGACTGAAGGTTGTTTATGATTTGAAAAAATACTTGGGTTCATCTTTTATTTCAGTCAACGAGACTCTGCCATCTAATAATAATAATAAACAGTTATTTAATTATAAAATCTAATTTACTAAAACGAAATTATGTATCGGCTTGGGTTTATTAGAAAATGTTAGGGTTTAGTTTTATGATTATACGAGGTTAAATATCGGTGTGGGTTTATAAACGGGTTTAAATTTTACAATTAAACGAAGTAAACGTCGGTTTGGGTTTAGAAAGTACGATTAGAGTTTAATTTTTTTACGATTAAAGGAATTCAAATGGCAGTTTATGTTTACAAAAGATAATTA